GAATTATATCTGTGTTTTTTAATTTGTTGATTTCCATAGATTCTAACAAAGATAGCTTAAGGCCTTTATTTTGAATGTGAAGAATTTTAAATTTGTCATTAAATGAATGATTATGATCTAGAAGGTGAAGTGCGTATGTCGAATCTGTTTTTCTATTCTTGAAAGCCCTTTTATGTTCTGCTATTCGTTTATCAAAGTTTCTACCAGTTTGACCGATGTAAGTTTTTGGGCAGTCGCCACATTGGAGTTTGTATACACCACTATTTAAGTGTTTTTTATTTTGGCTCTTGTTATTTTTAATATATTTGCCTAGGTTGTTATTTGTTCGGAAAGCTGGTGTTATTCCTTTCTTTTTTATGTGTTTGGCAATTTTTGTTGTTATTTTTCCTGTATATGTAATCGAGCAGAAGGTACTGGGTTTTTTCTCTGGTGGTGGAAATACTAATTTCAGGGCTTTCTTGTGTAGTTTTTGTTTTAACATTTTATTAATTGTTTGTTCGTTGTATCCGTTGTTTACTGCTATTTGTTTAATTATATTTAATTCTGTCTCAAAGTTGTCTTTTGACATCGGAATTTCTGTTAATCTATGTAACATACTATGATAAGCTGCCAGTTTATGTTGTGTTGGATGGGATGACGAATTGTGTATAGTCGTGTCAGTATGGGTAGGTTTATGAAATATGGAGAAGTCATGTTTGTTTTGAAATCTGCTAATTTTTAAGTCTAAAAAATTTATGGATTGATTTTGTTCTGTTTCTATTGTAAATTGAATATGACTATGAACTGAATTAATATATGATAAAAATTGGTCGAGTTGCCTGTTAGTTCCTGTGAAACATACCAGTACGTCGTCTACGTATCTCCACCAATATAAAAACTGTTTGAATACGGGATGTTTTGAAATCTTTGTCTCTAGATGATCCATAAAAATATCTGATAACAATGGGCTTAGAGGATTACCCATTATAAGTCCTGCACTGTTATTTGTATATATTTTATTATTATATATTAATGACAAATTTAAAATTCTTCACATTCAAAATAAAGGCCTTAAGCTATCTTTGTTAGAATCTATGGAAATCAACAAATTAAAAAACACAGATATAATTCTGAATGACCAACTTGAGACAAACAGTTCTCCCCTCCTCAACCTATTTCATTAGAGACTATAAATTTGTAAACCCAAGCCAAAATAGATCACTTGAGAAAGGCAATCAGCCGAAACAGCTGTAGTGATAATATTTAAAATAAATTTTGTGGAAGTTTGAAAACAAAGTTTTCAGTGTTTTATTGTTACATAAAATGAATTTCCATCAAGTAACGGTCGAATCCATCAATGTTTTTTTTTTTTTTTTTTTATTGATATCCTGGTTTAAAACCATTATTTTAACAACTAAAAATCGCAATCGATTGTGGTATATGCCATCAGACGTGTACTTACCAAACCAATTTATGTCCGCTGGGATTGTCTGCACAGTATGATTTTACAAAGTTAGAAAATAAAATATTTTCGAGGTTAATATCCTAACCGTTGCTGATAGATAACTGGCGACCGCAGAAACAATCGTGCGCGTCTTACTCACGTATTACGATGTTGCCTATGTGCTCTAGAGGTAGTACAAATATATAAACAAAATTGAGCTTAGGTTTACAGAAAATATACTTTTACACGTTTGGTGCAAAGTTACCCTGCTTAGTGCAAAGTAACCCCATTTTAAGGTACTTCTGAAAATCGCCTTCCCCCTTAAGGATTACATTCACTCGCACTTATCAGTTTTAAACCCTATTATATGTGTATTTTGTTAATAATATGTTATAAGATGTTATTATTATATATAGTCCGTCTAGAAAGTATCCGGAAAAAAGAAAGCAGAATCATAATTTTGGGGTATTTATTTCTATCACTTGAAATATTAAATTTCAACAAATAATTCATCTCATTTACTTGTACAACCTCCATTAAAATCTAAACACTTAACTAAACGTCCAGGTACACCCGAAACTAGGTCAAGGCCATAATTTTCGATAATGGTGTTCTTGGCCTGTAAAACTGACCCAATTAAATCTTTATCTCGCGGCGCTACTCGTTCCACATCAATCTTCATCAGTCCCCATATGTTTTCAATGAGGCTAAGATCTGGAGATGCAGCTGGCCACGGAATTGTTGCCAATTCGTGTTCTTGCATTCAAGCGTGAGTATAAGCAGAAGTATGGCGTCTTTCATTATCTTGCTGAAAACACCACCCCTCTGGATATAAAACATGATTTGTTTCTAGAAGAAAACCATTTAGGATGTCAAAATATTTCGCACTATCAACAGTACCATTAACTATACAGAGAGGTGTAGCACCACGCTGAGATATGGCTCCTCAAACCATTATTTTAGTGGGAAATTTGGAAATTTGAACGGTGACATTTTCGCTTGATAGGACTTTTAGATGATTTGCACCAAGCTGGAAACAACTTTCATCAGATATAAAGACATTAAAATTATCTTCTCGAAAACGAATACAAAAATCTATTCTTCGTTGAGTTTGCAGAGGTGTCATTGTAGGGATTTTTTTGGATTTGCTTGATATGTAGCCTTGCTTTTTTAGTGACATGCGGACAGTTTCTGGGCATACTTTTATTCTTTGTTGATTTTCAAATCTGTTCGCTAATTTTCAAAACCCTAGGCGCGGATTTTGTCGTCCTAAAGCCACTAAGGCATTTAAATTGTTTCCGAGAATCTTACGCGGTCTACACGAAACTGGTCCTTGTCTCATATCTATGCCATTTTTTATCCTCTTTATTGTCTCATACAGTGCAGTTTTTCCGAGTTCAGTCAATTGCACTAATTTTTTTACGTTTCGGACAACCTGTCTATACAATATTGTTCTGAAGCTATTTTCTTGTGGCATTGTAAATTAATTACTATTTATAACTGGGAATAAGCCACAATTAAAGATAAAAATACGTTGAGGGTATACAAGGCAACTATCGAACACGGTGATTAATTTAATCTTGCCCAAGTACTTTCAATCAATAGATCATCTTCAGGGGCATTTCGTCAATTGTGGACTATCCAACATAGTAGAATGTCATAAATTTAAAACTGGACATAACAATACAAAATACACTACACTAAGACAAACAAACACTTTAAAATTTATATGGCGAAGCTACATATTGTGAAGAAGCCGGAGACAGAATTCTGTCTCCGGCTTCTTCACAATATGTAGCTTCGCCATATAAATTTTAAAGTGTTTGTTTGTCTTAGTGTAGTGTATTTTGTATTGTTATGTCCAGTTTTAAATTTATGACATTCTACTATGTTGGATAGTCCACAATTGACGAAATGCCCCTGAAGATGATCTATTGATTGAAAGTACTTGGGCAAGATTAAATTAATCACCGTGTTCGATAGTTGCCTTGTATACCCTCAAAGTTTAATTATTCGAACATTCAACCTTATATTGATTTATTGAAAAATACGTTTATTGACGTTTCAATTTCCAATTCGGAAATCGTTCTCAAAATACAAACAGTAAATTAAACAAATTTTGTTTTTTGTTACATAGTGAAAAAATTCTTCTAATAATTTAATTTTATCTGACTCATTTATATTGACAATTCAGACATACATTATGCATTTTAAAGTAGACGACTTTAAAATGATATTGTCAATATTGTTGAGTTGCGCTCCTGGGACGACTTTACTTATAAGATAGTTCATTCGATTACATGAAATCAACTTTAACTTGAGAATATCCGTCAGAAAAAATCATACCATGTAATTCGTCTTTAAAAAGACAAACACATAACATGATGACAGTAAAATTCTCCTGTTAGTGATTCCATAGTAAATTATGAGGGAAAAACCAGGAAAAAAACCTCATAATAGGTTTTTCCCTCATAATTTACTATGGAATCACTAACAGGAGAATTTTACTGTCATCATGTTATGTGTTTGTCTTTTTAAAGACGAATTACATGGTATGATTTTTTCTGACGGATATTCTCAAGTTAAAGTTGATTTCATGTAATCGAATGAACTATCTTATAAGTAAAGTCGTCCCAGGAGCGCAACTCAACAATATTGACAATATCATTTTAAAGTCGTCTACTTTAAAATGCATAATGCATGTCTGAATTGTCAATATAAATGAGTCAGATAAAATTAAATTATTAGAAGAATTTTTTCACTATGTAACAAAAAACAAAATTTGTTTAATTTACTGTTTGTATTTTGAGAACGATTTCCGAATTGGAAATTGAAACGTCAATAAACGTATTTTTATCTTTAATTGTGGCTTATTCCCAGTTATAAATAGTAACTGTCTATACAAATATTCCACCACTTTTCATTTTTCTACTTGCGACATTATTTCACAAATCTTAAGTATGTTTACAAACAACAATATTTGACAGATGGTGTCATACGATTTTGTCCATAACCTACTATCGGCACAACCTACTTGATGCATCACTTTTGTCTTAAAATGTAACAAAAAGAAAATCTATTAAAATTAGGAAAAATATAAAATTCCGGATACTTTCTAGACGGACTGTATATTTTGTCTCAAGCTGTTGTGTCAGTATGTATAATTAAATTAATTGAATTAAATAAATTTTTTTGGAAGGCACAAACATTAGTTGGTGAACTATAGGCTATGCAGAAGTTGTTAAAATTGTTATTTCGATAATAAAACAAATGTTCTGAAACTGTTTTCTTGTGGCATCTCTATGTTATTTTTAATGGAATTAGGCCACAATTGACTGTAATGAAATCAGTAAAGGATGAGAAATAAGTACAACCTCACATATTCAAAAGACCAATCGTTTTTTCTTTTCGTTTATTTTTTTTTCTTAACAATTTCCGCATTGGAAATTGAAATGTCAAATAACAATTATAAAATGTAATTTTTATAACAATCAATTGTGGCTCAATCTCATATACATAAACATGATATCTAAGTAAAAGAAATAATACAATAATTTTTTTTTTTTTTTTTTTTTAGGTTATATGGAGTAGTTCTTTCTCAGCCGATGATGATGGTAACGGAACTAGCTCCTTTAGGCTCTCTATTAGATTTTTTAAGAAAACAATGCCAACATACTCCCGTTCCCATGCTTTGCGAATATGCAACTCAGGTAGCAAACGGTATGGCTTACCTCGAAAACAAAAGGTTTCTGCATAGGGATCTTGCATGTAGAAATGTTTTGCTATCAGCCGTTGATAAAGTAAGTATAAGTTAAATGGCGAATAATTGCTTAAGCGTACTTTTTAAAGGTGTAAACCGCTGCTTTAAGAGGCGAGAAATATTTACAGTACATTTTATTTTTGATGGACGAAAAGGTCAAAGTTATTTATTTATATCTGAGCGAATGCTGAAAAAAGTGTCTCGTCTTGTCATATCTCCCATTGTCAGATGTCAAACAAACTAAGTTGTACCATGCAGAATTTGATATGTCTAGGGAAACCATACCTTCGACTGTTTATTTTCAGGATCATATGCATACAGCTATTCGAATGAATGTGAATTTCTATCGAATATTGTCGAACTACAAACTTTACTTTATATTCCGAAGTCAAAGAAGTAGAAGTTACTTGATTGATACACTGTTATTTTAATCCACGTTTAGACAAGATGCATTTTAAAGTACATTAAACATGAAATATCTATGTATACTGCAACCATAATCAACCTAAAACTGATCCTTGTGAAATTTACCAAAGACTAATTTTTATATTATATTATTCAACAGGTAAAAATAGGAGATTTTGGACTGATGCGGGCACTTCCTCAAGAAGAAGACTGCTACGTAATGACAGAACATAAGAAAGTCCCTTTTCCATGGTGCGCCCCAGAATCGTTAAGGTTTCGACAGTTCAGCCATGCCTCTGATACTTGGATGTTTGGGGTGACTGTCTGGGAAATGTTCACATTTGGAGAAGATCCATGGATGGGTTTGATCGGTATGTCAAACAAAAATTATCAAAAACTGCGTCAAATATTTTAATCATCTCTGTAGGGCATAAATAATTATTTCTTATTTTATTAGGAATTATCTTTTATTTTGAATAAGTGTATATTTTTGGTTTCAACCACAAAAAATTGTTGACATACAAATGGGCATACATGGACAAGCGTAATCAAAACAAACATCGAATTCGAATGGCGGAGGTGCACTCCATCCATTGTTACGTCCTACTAAATGATTTTCTGTCGTGGTGTCGGAGGTGATCGGGAATTACAATTACCTCGTACGAGGCAATATTTTCGATTTTAGCGTTTTATGTAGTGTACAACAGTGGTTCCCAAACTTTTAATCTCGCGTACCACATATGAAATTATAAATTAGTAGCGTACCACTGAACTGTGGTAATCTTTAAAAAACCTTGAAAATGGTAAAGTAATAAAAACTGCAACAACTGTTTATGGCAACATTATTATTTATTAAAATTATAGGAAAAAATACAATATACTCAGTGCGAAAAATGATGATGCATGTTCGAGACAAGAGAGGAAATATCTGGCTCAGTTGTACTTAATTTCAGGCGCAAATTAGTCACTATGTTAAGCTTGTTACGATATTTATTTTTTATTATCAACATTGCAGAAAATCCGCTCTCACAGAGATATGTGGTTGTAAATGGAATTAGAAACAGTAATGCGACGGACAGCGATGGATATTCATTTTTAACTTTTAGCCAAAATTCACATAGCTGTTCTTTGTTGAATTCCACTTGCAAAGCTCCATCACAAGATAACTCTATCAGAGATTCCTTTTCATTTACACTTAAATTTTCAGGAACACTATCCAGATCCGAAACGAATGGGTTCCTAATCCAATTGAACTCCGATTAACCTTCTTTAAAATATTCTTCAAATATTTCAACGATCATTTGCCTGTGATTTTTGATGTTATTGATCACAATTTCACTCACTGTAAGTTCATTTTCAGTTATAAAATTTTCTAAATTAGGAAAAGATGCTAGGTTCTCATTCGACACGCTCTTTTCAATCATTTGAAATTTTTTGATAAATGCTTTTATTTTGTCATTTACTGAAAATCTATTTGTAGATCTACCTTCCAAACTTAGATTTAAGTCGTTGATGCGATTGAAAATGTCTGATAAGTAAGCTAATGATATAAGCCATAATAATCATAATTATCGTGATCTTTATATAGTTTAATACATTTTCAGGTTCTGAAATCCTGCGTAAGATAGAAAAAGAAAACGAACGACTATCAGCTCCCGAAGCCTGTCCACCGCCAATTTACACAATTCTTCTCCGTTGCTGGGCAAAAAATCCTCAAGATCGTCCCACCTTCGCTTCGCTCAAGGATTTCTTTCGAAAGAATATGACTCCAGTAATGAAAGCCATGGGCCGACAAGAAGAACCTGGCAAACTAAAATTTGAAGAGGGCGATGAAATTGCCATTATAGATGGTAGTGCTGAGTTGTACTGGTGGAAGGGTCAACATCAACAGACATTTGAAATTGGACTGGTACCTAGATGTTTGGTAGATCCGATGAGGCCGAAGCAACCAGAGGATATTAGGTAAAACTTAGATGTATATTTCTGTTACCGTTGCATTTAGAGATTTTTAACAATGGCTAACGCCGGTTTGAAGTTTCTTAAGTTTTTGACCCTGCTGGGACAATATTTTAATAAGCGTGAAAAGAGAATTAGAATTTCTCTTTCAACGTCTTCCGCAAAAAGCGACAACTTGTTAAAAAGAAAACTTCTTAAAAAAAGAAAAACTTTTGCTCTGTCATTTATATTGTTATTGGTAGAGTTGAGGCCAATTTGAGATCTTCAATTTGTTGATTTGTTATATTTACAGACATTTTTACTGTTCTATATTTCACTGTTTGATTTAGCAGACAAAGGTGTCTCTTGAATTTTTTTAATGTTTGCTTTATTCTTAAAATCTGTCATTAGGTGAACCGCAAATTCAAAGCCTTTTATTAGAGGCTATTGAGCGATACTAGGAATAACCTTTTATGTTGACATGCATCTACAGTTCACCTTTGAAACCACTATCTTTTTTACTCTTTACGTAGAGGAAAGCGTTAAAACGAAAGTAAAAGATTGTATTTCAATTCGAATTCCAATATCGTTCTACACGTGTTTCGAGTTATATCAAGTTTCATCAGAAACACTTGTAGAAGTTCAAACTGAAATGAAATCCAGTGTAGTATTTGGCAGTTATAACAAAAATAACCTGCCTGGTACGCTAGCGTAAAATGTAAAATTTTAAATTCAGCGTTTTTTAGGCGTATTTCAAGAGTCTCACATTTATTGCCAAAACTCAAAAACCAAAATGATATGCGATATTTTTTTACTATTGGACTCTAACAATGCAAATTCCATAGTAACGGGTGAATAAAAGTAATACATTTTATTGATTTCATGGAATTATTAAAAAATGGCAAAACATTATTTACGGCAAAATACAAAAATTGCATACCAAACCTATACTCTTTACCTTTAAAACGCATTTTGATTTTTGTCAACGAAAAAGTACTAATAAACATTTTTGTTCAACATTATTTCAGCTGCGTTTTTTATTTGAAACATTTTCTACGGCGTACAGATTCTTGATAAATTGATTTTATCCGCCACCCCCTACGACGAGGCGATGTAGGGGGAAGCCGAAGGGTAGGGGTGGTAAACTTTTTTGCATTTTTTTGGAGTCCCATAATTGAAACTTTCAGCAAAATTCAGCTTGTTTGTTTGATTTTTAAGGGTCAAATCTCTGACCACTGTGCTATTATACAAATTTGTACTTAAAATCCATTTCGGCTCGCATAAATGCATCGGAGATAATATAATGAATGATACACATGATATTGTATATACTACGATATTCTATCATATTCTAATGATGCACATATTTGCGAGTGAGTGTCCCTGCTATTGTTGCTTTATAAAAAGTGCCTCTTTTCTGTAGGCTTGCGCTTAAGATTGTTTACTGGTCTCTTACAAGCTTTTGCAATATAAAGGTGGTGTGTTATCTTCCCTCAAAAGGACGAGATCATCTAGTTAAACATTCCCATTTGATATTAGCCATTTGGGACGTTTTTGTATATTTTGTAAAAATATTGTATCGGCCGCTATTGCAGATCCAATACCCAAGCGACCCTTATACTACTTAAATAGTTAGTAAACAATAGTTAGTAATGCTTTGTTAGTTAATACTTAATAGATAATAAATAATATTTCGTGCCTGTACTAAACATTTCCTACGAGAGCCGCATGCTGCTCGCGAGTCGGGGTTTGCCCAAAACTGCCTTATATCAAACACATTTTAACATAGGGCGCGTTAACTAATTGGTGGTTACGACTATATTTGTCGTTCCTACATTTGTCCAGGAAGTCACAATAAATCGATAAGAAAAATGTGACAACAATGTAGCAATCATTCGTAAAGAAAAAAATGTTTTCATTTATGTATGCGTGTAATTTTTTTATTCAGTTACACTCTTTATCAATCAAAATACAAATAATGTTCTATAAGGTAATTTGCTGGCTGCAAGGCAAAAACTTTGTCTTCTCCGGTGGTAAGATCACTTTACCCGTTTCTCAGGTCAGCTAGCCAGCTCCTTCTTCTATTGACATTATGTTCTATTAGAGATTGAAGTAAGCGGTTACTATGTGATTCCAGTCCTTCATGGTGCTTCGTGCTATATTTAGTTATCCCAACATGTATGAACGGTATTCTTATGTCTTCATGAAACGTTAGGTTTGACACATGCCAGGGTGTATCAATTACCGTTCGCTGTATTTTCCATTAGCTTCTTTGAATTCTGATTATATTTGACTTGATTGCACATCTCCAGAGTTGGATTCCATACGTCCAGATAGGTTTTATGATAGCTTTATAGACACAAGGATTTTATTTTCTATGGTCAGTTTCGATTTTCTGCCGACTAGCCAGTTTAGATCTTTCATTCTTAGGTCAATTTATTTCCGCTTTTAAGAATGTGTTCTTTCCAATTGAGTTTTGAGTCAAGATGTATTCATAGGTACTTAGTGCTAGAGAATTAAGGAAGTTGGATATTGTTAAGTGAAACTGGGGGACACTGGTCTCTTTTCTCAAGGTAAAAGTCACTTGGACTGATTTTGTTTCATTCATTCAATTCTCCACTTATTTGATTACGTCTCGATTTGATTCAGTTGTACCTATAGAATGTTGATGCTATAGTTGGATTTTCGTCGACCGCAAGGATGCCAGGATCATCTGCAAACGTACCAGTGATGCTTTCATTATTGGAGGGTAGATCTGCTGTGTATAGCACATATAATATTGGTCCAAGATGCCTGTGATTAAAAACAAAGTAGAGGTTTTTTAGTTTTTTTGGCAATTGCGTTTGCATGCAAAGTTCATGCGATGACAAACTGTAGGTATTGATTTTAGATCATTTTACATACCAATTTTAACGTATAGAAAATTTCTCTATAAAAGGACGATTAAAAAAAGTGGAACAGTAGTCGGTACTGTAGACTAGCGCGGAGCTTCATACTATGTTTATTATTTATTTATTTTTTGTATTTTAAACAAATTCAATAAATTATTATATTTGCTCCTAACGCCACCTGTTAACGTATTAACAAAGCTTACGTTGTTTACTTATGACATACCTGTCAAATTCAGACCAAATATTAATAATAAAGTATTAATAAATAGCATTTGATTCTAAATTTAATTATTATATAGGTAAACTAAATACTATAGGTTTGTTCCAACAAGCAATTTTTGTACGGTCCGGAAACCGTCACGAAACTACTTGTACCGTTTTTAACGCGCATGTTCATCATTTGTATCGTCTGATGACGGTAATTTGGAAACTGATGTTGGAACGATTTTCTGACAACTGACATAATTTGATGACAATCTACCTAAATAATTCTGGTTTTTCACTCTAGGTTCGGCTAATAGCTCCAAATCATCCTCACTACTATAATTGAGAAAAATCACTAATTCCTTCGTCGTCAGTCATATTTATAAATTTATAAATATTGAAAAACAAATACATAAATAAATAACAAGTCTATCATAAGCACCTGATAAAATAATTAACCTAACTTCTCCTTTTTCTGAACAAATTTACAGTTTTAATATAAAATCTAAATTAATATAGGCCCAAACAAATTTAAAGAAGTAGAATAAAATCCTAGTGCGCAAGTCATCCCAACCAGTACATGCATTTGCCAGATTACTGAAATTATCATCACGAAACCGTCACTGGGCGATCACAATTTTTGTTGGAACGGTAGGAAGGACGATGAGATGAACGATCATATTTTTGTTGGATCGTATTTTGTTTAGTGCGCAGGAGCATAACCGTTACGTGACGGTTTTCGTTGTGTTGGAACAAACCTTATGTTTAAAAATAAAAAATTGCATTTATATGAACTTAGTTTAAATTTAGAATTATTAAAAATTTAAATAAATGATTTAATGTTATTAATCGAATGACATGATTATGATTTTTGTTAAATTTTGACAATCTTTACGAATCGAGTCTTTTAGTGACAGATATTCTTTTAATTTTTTACTTCTCATTTAATGTCTATATTTTGTTAGTTATTTTTCATGCAGTTTTTAATTTAACCCTGCTTAATATATGATAAGTAGAACGAATTGATCGAGAGTATTTTACTGTAGAGAAAAAAAGAATACAACGCAAGTATAGAAGCTTCGCTTCAAAAATAGTTTTTCCTTATTATAAAATACATATATACCAACATATAGTGTTTTGTTATTACACTTGTATATTTTTAGCAAACCGCTTCAACATTCATTTATCCATACCGGTCATGGGTCTGCATTCGGAGAATCATGGGGTAGCCCTTCTCATATCGATGAAATGTACCTGCAAAACCCAATGGATCCACCTGACGTCATGGGTCTGCAGAGGCAGCCCAAACCGTTACCTGAACTCTGTGATAGAAGGAAATCTTCAAAGAATTGTTGTAAGTATAATGATAACTAGACAATAGTTCTTTTCGAGGTTTGTTTTCAGTACCTTTTTTTAGAAGTATAGTTGGAAGTAAAAAAAACTGTATAGTAGCCTCGTATTTCCGTGAGACTGCGCAAAAATATATGTATCTGTAATAAAATCATTCAACAAAAAGGTACTCTACCAGGAGTCTGTAAAATTATCCATGACTCAGACGTATAATAATGCAAAGTTTTCAGATTCCACTCGATATTAACATTCAGACGTGCCTGGTATAATCTAAAATATGAACCAGATATGAACAATCCACCAATTAAGTTTTCATCGAACTTATGATAAGTCCACGTGGACTAACGGCCAATGAAACCATCGGATATCCCTGTTATGACAAATCATAATGCATTATCTTTTGTCGGTAGACTTATTCATACTTGGGGTAAGATAATATCAGTATTTGACTGAGCTTCTTCTTCTTCTTCAAGTGCCGTCTTCGTTCCGAAGTTTGGCTATCATCAAAGCTATGCGTATTTTTGATGCTGCAGATCTAAACAGTTGGTAATTGGTGCAATTGTACCATTCTCTCAAGTTTTTCAACCATGAATGCCTTCTTCTTCCTATAGATCTCTTTCCCATTATCTTCCCCTGTATAATCAATTGCAGCAACTGGTATTTATCTCCCCTCATAACATGTCCCAAATATTGACTGAGCTTACGGAGTCATAAAATAAGGGATCAGGTTTCGACCGTCCAGTGCCGAAGGCACGGGACGGGGAAAACTTTTATAATATTTTCCCCCTGCCTATTAGTGTGATTATCATTCAAGATTAATGAAAAAAACTTCAAATAATAGTTGGAATAAATTAAAAATTCAGGAATTTTTATTCACGGAAGATTTGTATTTTGAGACATCTTATATTAAAAAGCAATTGTTGGAGGTTGTTTATAGTAAACAGTACGAAAAGGAATATGTTGTTGACAACTGTGCTCGTAGTAACAGGCGTACTATGTTTAGACTTCCTCCTTATTATTGTACATTGAACCCAATAGAGTTAATATTAAACTTAATAAACTAAACTTAACCTAGGCTCAACTTAAAGGAAATATAATGAGAAGAAACGTTGCTCCAAAATTTTTTGTCTACTGTTCTCCAGTTAATTAGAAGAGAAGTCACAAAAATTACAGCAACCAACTGGAAAAATGTAATAAAAATAAAACATGTGATCGGAGTGGAAAATGACTATGTCAAATATTTGCCAGCATTAACCAAATTACCTATAAATTTAGATGATACGAGTGATACTAGTGATAACAGTGATTCTGAGTAGATAGTAAGTACTTATTAAGTGTTAGTTGAAACCTTTATTTCTATTTTAATTGTAGATATTCTCATTTTGCTTATATATCTTTGAAAACAGGGTATAAACACACTTCTTGATAGGACAAAAATTATTAATGTTTTACGGGAGTATGTCAACTGAAACTGTCACTGTCAATCTCGCTGAATAACTACTATTATTAACAATGTTTTATATAGATATTATTATTTTACAATAAGTTCTGTTCAGTCGAGTCGATTAGTGTTATCACTCCCAAGACATATCACAGAAGTTAAAAACACCGATATTTTTTATTTAAACTTTATAGAAAATAAAACTTTTATTTAATTTAAAATTAGATATCTACGCTACTGTTCTACTACTATGTACTACAATAAAGTAGTGGTAACTCTAACAGCGTTGCCATTTTACTAGTATTTTGCTTGCTTTGGTCTCTGTAAATTTTCTCACGAAATTACGTGCCGACTATACTTCTGTGATTATTTCTCAGAATAAATGAACAAAGTGTATCACTCACATATTTTTATCTATTCAGAATGAATATTTTTATAGAATACTTTATAAATACGATACCAAATCAAATACGATAATATTTTGTGTGTTCATTATAAGGTGGAAATATTATTTGTATATTTGTTTTTTTTACAATTAAATTATTTTTCATACTCCAAGATATTCTAAAAAAAGTTATGTTAAGAGTGTAGGACAAAAGTTAAGATCTGTTGTAGCTCCTCTTGAAATGTGTTTAGAATATTTAAGTTACGTAAAATTTTTTATACTTTTCTTCTTCTTTGTTGTTCTAGTTATTTTCTCCATTATCCACCATATTCATTTTGCTTTTTTCTTTATATAATCACAGTCGTTCGTTCTTTATTTTTGTGTCTTGAATATAATTATTGTGTCTTAAAACTGCCTCTATGCATTGCCAATTTAACTAAACTAGACAACGTTTGGTTTGACGACAAAAGGTATTATAATGTCATATAATACTGGGCATAGATATCACGGCACTGTTTTATTGACCATACAACACAATGGCAATCGCTGTGATATGTTACACGTTTTCACCTCTATATTCATTTCACATTAGGTACGAATTGTCGTAATTGTCACATTGACATTAAAAATCTCAAACGAAGTTCTGAAAGAATAAACAAATAATTAATAAAATTCCTATTACGTTTTATACCGTCCAAAAAAAAGTGCAACTTGTAACATGGTACTTTCAGGGTTATTCGATACGCGAAGTAATTGATTTATTTATTGTTGCCTTCGAAAATAGACCCCCACTAACGGTTAAAAATACCGTTAAACATTTTTAAACTTCGAGATGTATAAACAGTGTAAAAAGTGTCATGAAGGTAATGAACCACGTGTTAGACCTGTCGATAAGGAGCATCAAAACAGGGATATTGATATTTTTGCTTTTGTGGAAGCTAGTGAACCCTACAATAGTATACAAATAGCTAGGGAAGTTACCGTGAATGCTCGAACTGTCCAGCGAGTTCTCAAAAGGAATGGGGTTAACTGTTTTAAGATACAACCAACACAAGAATTGTTTCCGGAAGATAACTTTAGGCGGTTGGAGTTTTGTGAATTGATGTTATATAACCAGAATGAAAATGTACACTTTTTAAAAAATATTTTAGTTTCTGACGAATCGTCATTTTCATTACATAAAACACAGTCCATCCGTTTCAAGGTACCATTATTCTCGGAAAAATAAGCACCTCAGTGTTGCAGTGCGAACGCAGCATCCGCAAAAGTTAAATATTTGGACTGGAATGTTAGGCGACCATATTGTCCGTCCATTTTTTATCGATGGAAACCTAAACGGGCCCAAATATTTACAACTTTTACAGAATGAGTTCATTCCGGCAGTTTGACGCCTTTCCGTTCATTTTCAGGAGGTTTATATCTGGTTACTGCATAGCACAAGGAGGTGGAATATTTGAGCCCTTAATTTATTAATCTGCTTTCTTTATTTTTATTTTTTGTTAGGCACATTTTACGAAATTTGTAGGTTCTTAATTAGGTAGTAATTTTTATGTTTAAGTTTGATAGAATTTTATTGTTTTTTATTTAAAAGTACAAACGACAGAATCTATGGCATAGAACCTGAATCAGTCAACCATATTTTGCTTGACTGCAAGGCACTAGATTGGAGGTAGCAAACTAGGCATCAGGTAATTTAGCAAGAAATCCCCTTGACGTTTTTTTTTAATTAAATTATTTTCATTCTGTTTTTGATACACTCCCAGAAAACAGAAGTCAACACTTTAAAAAGTATACGCTCCTTCCTGCCCTTTTATACAGAGTGGCCCAAAAGTCTGGAAACGGCCAATTATCTCGTAAATTGCTAGTCATAATTGTACAAAATTTTAGGTACACCTATTTTGAGATACGGAGATTCCATATTTGATATTTGTAATGTTGCCAGATTTGCCGTTTCTCTTATATTATTAGTAACTTTAAATTCATCACTCTGTATATTCAGTCATTATTGGAATCTCCTATTCAATACGAGTTCAACCATATGTAATACTTATGATTTTATGTAGTCTGAAAGGTCTTAAATACATAAAAGAGTGCAAGATATGTAGATTGTAATAAATTTAAATATTTAGATGTAAAATACTGAGATTTTGACATTTGTTCACCATTTACATTATTAATTAAGTTTTGTTGAAAATTACGTTTGTAAGAACAGTCTTACGTGTATTACATAAGAATAAATTTAAACTATACAAAATTAACTTATTGCAAGAATTAAGTGAAGATGACTTCGATCGTAGATTAAAGTTTACTGAGGTAAACAGAATATGTTTTTCCGATGAAGCAATCTTTACACTGTATGGAAGTGTCAATCGACACAATTTAAGGTACTGGAGTGTAGTAAATCCACACTGGATGCGTGAAAACCATACTCAAAGACCACAAAAATTAAATGTATGGCCAGGTATAGTAGGTACTCAGTTAATTGGGCCATTTTTTATCGAAAGAAATTTAACGTCAGATAGTTACGAAATGTTACTTAGAAATGAAATTTTACCTACACTGAGAAATTTGTTTGTGACCAATTTTAATCAGATATGGTTTCAGCAAGATGTAGCTCCAGCTCATTGTGGTGTAAATGTTCGGCGTTATTTAGATGAGATATTTCCCGGACGATGGATTGGTACACGAGGTAAAATTGAATGGCCTCCACGTTCACCTGATTTCAATCCTAAAGATTATTTTTATTGACTTGATAAATTCAGTTTACAAAACCAAACCAGCCAGTCTTGCAGAGCGAAGGCAACGAATTATCGATGAATCTCGAATAATTTTTAGACAATCATGGAGAAATGTGGTAGAGGAATTCTACCATCGATTAGGGTACTGTCAACTCACAAATGGAGCACATTTTGAACACTTGATAAAGTAACGATTATGTTAAAAAATGTTGTAATCTATCAATTTTTACGTTTTAATTTAGTTGAAAATAGTTAGTATTAAAAAGTTAATTGAGACAATTAGGAGTTGCCAAACTTCTGTTTTATGTATTTAAAACCCTCCAGACTACATAAAATCATGAGTGTTACATATAGCTGAACTCGTATTGAATAGGAGATTCTAATAATGACTGAATATACAGGGTGATGAATTTGAAAAACTAAAGTAACTAATATTATTAGAGAAACAGCAAATCTGGCAACATTGCAAATATCAAATATAGAATCTCCGTATCCCAAAATAGGTGTACCTCAAATTTTATACAATTATGACTAGCAATTTACGAGATAATTGGCCGTTTCCAGACATTTGGGCCACTCTGTGGTGATTTTTAGTATAATTACAACTGGAATGACTATTTTTTTTTTCTTCATGTAATCAACTTCTTATTGTAATCAACAGATTACAATATTGATGGTTGATACTGTTACATTATTATAATTTTAACTTTTTCAACTTTAAATAAGGCTGACATCTGTCATTTTTAGACAACTACCGTAAGTTACACTGACTGCTCTGACACAAAATCCGTCCTAACATGTCAACAATGTCATTTTGATCAGTTGTTATCAACAGGTCCTCGTAGACACTTCGTCTCAGGACCATTTTACTCATGTAGAGTCATGCGCCGCCATGTTACCTATCCAACGGTAACTTAAACATCACAAATTATAAATACTAATAATGTAACACAACTACAAATTTAAAACATTTAAAGGGTTTTTACCCATATATTTTGGTGGCTACTAGCATGTACAACCGTAAGTATTAACCACATTTTGCTCTAACCTTTGTCAACATTTTAATTTAACGTTCTTTTTAATTAAAGTGGTTATATACTTTCAGGTTTGCACTGATGATGGATTGTTTAATCCGAAAACGTTTTGCAATGTGTTTGTGATAGCCCGTTTGGGGCATTTTTATATACCTTTTATAAATGATTTTAAACAAATTTTTTTTTAAGGTAATTACGTTTTTTTTTATTAATTTCATAGCAACATTACCACCTCGTAGAAGAGATTTGACATCAAAAGTCTATTTATTTAAATATATTATCCAATATTATCCAAATCTGTTGTATTATAAGTATTTTCTGTCAATCAAGTATTAATCTCTGACTGATTAACAATGGTGGAACACTGGATCGACTAAATCTTGAGTATGCATTTTGCTCTATTAGCCGTTTCGGCTATCTCTGGATCTCATCAATGGCTATTTTTATTTTAGAACTTGCGGCTCTAAACAAATCAATCGATCTGCAATGATACCAATCACGTAGATTCAAAACTACTAAACAATCTCAAAATACTGTGGCCAAAACTATACCCAGAGATACAATTCATCACGTTACATACATATTTTTCTACTTCTTCTATCGCCTTACCATCGATTGTCAATAGGTTATGTATATTTTATGGTCTTTTGTAATTAGCATGTACTTCGTTTTTTTAGCGTTTATAGTAATTCCCATCTCACCACTATTCATACTCAAGCTTTCGATAAGATGTTGTAGATCCTCTATACTCGTTGCTATGATCACAGTGTCGTCTGCATATCTTAAGTTGTTAATTAAGTTTCTGTTAACGGTGACTCTCGCGTCGATATTATTGAGCGTGTTTTGGAAAATTTCTTCAGAATATAAGTTAAATAAAAGTAGCGATAAAATACATCATTGTCCAACTCCTCTACAGATCCTCATTTCTTTTGCGTGTTGCAAATAAACTATATTACGTTTATTAAGGGACCCGATTCCTTTCGGTTTACCTTTTTATAATATCAGGATTCTATTACAAATAAACTCGTTACTAGGCCAAGTAAATTTATCAAACTGCTTAATCTACAAGGTTAACTTAAAGTGTAGGGAAAGTATTTTGAAACAAGACACGCATGTCATTCAATACGTGGGCCCTAGTTTTCTATTGAAAAATTATTATTTATTGCAATAGAATATTTTTGATACTTGTAATATTTTTGGATCATTATATTTATCTCAGTATTTTTATACCACTTTAATACTACAGTGATGTCACAATTAGTTAAAAATAATAACCATTTTTTTGCTTTGACGTCAAATCGTATGATAACAACTAAAATAGCTTTAACATCGATTACTTCTCTTTAAACGTTTTATACATATGCAACTATTGAGTAACTTGTATACAGTTTTCATTGAAAATACGCAAAGATAGAACGAAAAGTCGTTATTTTGTTTTTAATCCAATTATAAAGATAGATTCTGAATTGAATTACAGAAAATATTTAAATGGATTAAATTTTTGTTAAATATGTACCAAAAACAGTAAAATATAAATTGAATTTTTCCTGAATGCTTCTAGTAAATGGTTCATTGCGACGACCACTAGAAAACCAGTTTAACTACAAAAAATTAACAAACCAAGAAAGCTTTAAATCAAAGAAACCGCAGAGGCCGCCAGATCCAAAGATAGATACAAATAGAGAAGGGGTTTTGGTTGACATATCACCGGAAGATGCTCCCGTTCTAAGAAAGAAGGAAGTAGTCACTAGTAGACCGGAGTCTCGAGCTGTATCTTTGCTGGATGAGCCTATAGATGTACCTCAACAAGGTAGGGTCGTAGTTAATTTATAAATATTTTTAGTATTCTTTGAATAGGTAATTATCTTTATTTGAATACTTTTCCTTGACTTAAGAATTTACACTTTTATTTGTCGAATCGGTACTCACTCGAGGTACCGAAGTCGTGCGGATATAATAAGCATATCTTCTAAGAATGTCGTTGTATAGACAATGAATTAAGGTTTATAAAAAAAAAATCTACTAAAATTCGGATAATTGTTACAGACTTCTAGGAATGTATAGTACTTTTAGGAATTTATGATTTATCCACTATCACCTTTTCTTTAGGAATTTCTTTAGGAAAAGGTCATAGTCTGATGTGTGACACCCTGTCACAGTCAAAATAATGAACACACACACACACACACACACACACACACACACACACACACACACACACACACACACACACACACACACACACACACACACACACACACACACACACACACACACACACACACACACACACACACACACACACACACACACACACACACACACACACACACACACACACACACACACACACACACACACACACACACACACACACACACACACACACACACACACACACACACACACACACACACACACACACACACACACACACACACACACACACACACACACACACACACACACACACACACACACACACACACACACACACACACACACACACACACACACACACACACACACACACACACACACACACACACACACACACACACACACACACACACACACACACACACACACACACACACACACACACACACACACACACACACACACACACACACACACACACACACACACACACACACACACACACACACACACACACACACACACACACACACACACACACACACACACACACACACACACACACACACACACACACACACACACACACACACACACACACACACACACACACACACACACACACACACACACACACACACACACACACACACACACACACACACACACACACACACACACACACACACACACACACACACACACACACACACACACACACACACACACACACACACACACACACACACACACACACACACACACACACACACACACACACACACACACACACACACACACACACACACACACACACACACACACACACACACCGCACCACACACACACCGCACCACACACACACACACACACACACACCGCACCACACCACACCGCACCACACCACACCGCACCACATCACACCGCACCACACCCCACCACACCACACACACACACACATTATAATGAGATATCCTGAAATATTGCATAGTAGTGTTCATGAACTTATTACAACAGATCGTAATTAAACATAGTACTGCGAATAAACTCTGTTAGTGTTTGGTTCATCATTAGGAAGAATTTTAAGTTTCAAAATATTTCGGCAACGTGGGTTTCAATAATATTAAACGAAAATGAAGGAACTGTTCTGGATTAAATTGCTCAAACGAGAAAAAAGAAGAGACAAGAAGTGAAAATTGTCCGACACATTCTTGTATCTCTGGGTATAGTTTTGGCCACAGTATTTTGAGATTGTTTAGTAGTTTTGAATCTACGTGATTGGTATCAATGCAGATCGATTGATTTGTTTGGAGCTGCAAGTTCTAAAATAAAAATAGCCATTATGATTGCCAACCTCCGTAGGGAGACGGCACTCTAAGAAGTAGTTTTGATATTGAATTTTCTTCACACTTACCGAACCGTTACTAAAACCTAGAGAGAGTTTGAATTGTCTATCGTCCCAAAAGGCGGAGATATTCCACATACATGTGCGAATGTCATTAAAAACTACATTTGGTTCAGACCTTTCACCAATTTCTATAAAATTATACTAGAATCTAGTACAGTGATACTCAACCTGCGGCCCGCGGGCCGCATGCGGCCCTCGGGCGTTTTTTATGCGGCCCGAAGGCTAACTAAGAATTTTTGACTTTATCTACATATGTATTTATAAAATCCAAAAATTTGAAAAATACGATTATATTAGATATTTTTGTAATTCATTATAAAACTATTACTAAAAATTCCCTAATCAACAATGTCTAATTTATAATATAAAATGATCCGCGCCTGTGGTGTTCAACCGGAGATTTCCCGAAGTTGACGTTGTTATGCTATGTTTGCATTTCCAATTCCTGGATAGTTTCCCAGTCGGCTCTGCATTGCGAAGAGAAAAAATTTGCGTCTTGAAAAGGTCGTTACAGTGGCAGCAAAATATAAAGGCAGTTTCAATGTCCCAAGATGTATCAGTAACGAGAGCGTCCTACGAAATTTGCTATTTATTAGGAAAACATATGAAGCCATTTACTGACGCTGAGATTGTAAAGAAATGCTCTATAAATGCTTCAAATATTCTATTTGAGAAGTTCAGCAATAAAAGTCAGATAATATCACAAATCAGACAACTACAACTCTCAGATTCCACGTGCGTCAGGCGAATTGAAGATATTTCGAAACATAAACACTGATATTTCATCAACTTCACAATGTTCCCTTTTTGTACGGTACTGTACTGAGGATTATGGAATTCGTAAAGATTTTCTCAAATTTCATCCGATGAAAGGTCATACCAAAGGAAGTGATTACATTAATGTTATGTGTATGCACAGATGGATGTCCGTCTATGATAGAAATAATATTGGGTATATTTCTCTTTTGAAAAAAAAAATGATATAAATAATTTATCGTAGTCGTAACAATGATTGTTTTAAATTGGAAAGTACAGACATCATGTGACATCTCATGTAAACGCTTTTAAAATACTGGTTACAACAATGTATCATACTTAGGCAAAGTTTTGGTCAGATGATTTTTAAATGCATTAATTTTTGAATCATGAGAAAACTAATGAGTATTTTTGAAAAATTTAAATGCCGAATGAAAGATTACATTATTGTATGCCGCCTCTTAAATATGATTGAAATTTAACTTTCATTTTTATTAGGAGGGTATGCGCAAAATCTTGATCCAATGCTATTTAAATGCATTTTTTATCAAATCCTGAGAAAACTAATTAATATTTTTGAAAACTTTAAATGCAGAATAAAATATTTCATTATTACCCATATCCTAAATTCCCTTAGAATAAATAAAAAATTTCTTTTAAATGAAATATTTGAAATTAAAAATCACAATAAATTTTCTCTGTCCTTTCACCTCTGTAACTTATTAAAATAGACATAGAAATTTTCAGGGACTTTCTGCCCTCGATAATAATGTAATCTTTCACTCTGCGTTTAAATTTTTCAAAAATACTTATTAGTTTTCTCAGATTTCCAAAAAACCAATGAATTTTTATCCTGGCTCGCTGTTTTATCCTGGCTTGAATTTCATTTTCAGCTGGAAATGCAATACATATATGAACTTTTCTGCAATTGCATTAAATTTTCATTTGGTCATTAGCCATATTATCCGTAACTTTTCGTTTTGTCTATAGTTTCTGACATTTTTACACAGCCTGACATTTTTTTATTTTACTGATAATGCCGCCCCCTTGTGTTGCCACCTGATGCGACTGCCTCGCCGTATCATAGCACGGCACGGCCCTGTACTAATATTTTATTCTGCGTTTAAATTTTTCCAAAATTCTTATTAGTTTTCCAAGGATTAAAAAAATTAATGCATTTAAAAAGCATTTGACCGAAATTTTGCGCAAGTATTATACATTTTTGAAATCAGTATTTTGAAAATAATATATAAATAAATATATATATATATATATATATATATATATATATATATATATATATATATGTATATATATATATGTGGTGTTTGGGAGAAACATGATAACTCCAAAATAGCGAAAATTTTGTTAAGTCCTGCACTGCATTTTGTTTTTGATCTATTTTCGTTTAATCTGACTATGGTATGTCTATCACGTCTGGAAAATGAGCCACGGCTTGGTATAATATTGATAAGTCCCTATTATTCAAATTTTGTTTGGTATAGTCCTGTTAAAATATTATATCATGTACCCGAAAACAAAACTAAACAATAACGTTTTGGTTCATATCTGATAATTGGTACTTATCATGTCTAGATCAAATAATATGCACATTCTTTTGGTAAAACATTTTGGTCCATATGTGATAATTGGTACTTATCATAATTATATCAAATAATATTCAAATTATTTCGGTAATTTTATGCTATGTTCAACTTAACATCTTTGATTCAAATAAATATTGCATTTAAGTGGCATTTTCTGTAAGTTTTTTTATGTAAGTGGCAAATAATATGAATATATCAAACTTTTCTTTTTGTTGTTTTGTACTTATCATAATTATACATGAGCATTTGGTCGTATTCACGATCGTGTCGATTGCATTGTGTTAGTGTTAAGGTCTATCGATGACTAGTTTGTTACACTTAGTAAGTCAGTATTAAAGTCAGTTTGTCTAAATCTTTCGAAGGCGAATGACGCAGTAAATGCGATCGAGTAATTTGGTAAACATGACTTATAATACAAGTTTTCGGATTACAAAAATAATTGAGATGTGTTTATTAGAAAATGAACAGTCGTCTTCTAATAATGTAATTAAGTTTGATAGTGTAGAACTGACTGATGTTGAATCAGCTTCATATCCAAACCCCTCTGGAAGTAAAGAAAGCAATTTGCACGTTTTAAAACCAGCACTATCTACACCAGTAAATCTTAGAGAAAATGCTCATCTGCTGAATGTATTAGTTTCTTAAGTAACTTCTGGTGATAATTTGAGTTCTGGATCTAGCAATTTGTGAGAACCATCAGATTCTGAACGTGAACATGGAAAAGCTGATTCCGAAGACCCTCAAAACGAGTTAGATGATCACTTTCCTTTAGCTCAAATAAGTATAAAAAAAAGAAAGAAAGGGCAGGGTCCAATTCAACAGAAATTTAGAAAAGGTCGTTCTGATAAAAAAAGAAAAGGTGAGGACTACATTATTGCTAAAGGTAAGAGCATTTTAGCTTAAGTTTGAATACCTCTGTCCACAAACTTTTAAGCAAAATGTCACGAAAAGACTGCCTCTGTTGATTTAAAACAAATTTTTAGAGACTACAGAAACTTGTCAACTATGGCTACACAGAAACGTTTTTGGCTAGTTTAATAACAGTAAAACCTAAAGAAAGAACACGGCGTGGTAACTCAGTCAAAAATAGGTAATTTACAGTTCTTTATAAGTTGGAGAATATGGATGGTAATATTTGTAAATGTTGCTTTTTGAAAGTATTTGGCGAAACCAGAGGTTTCTTAGATGACGTTGTTAAAAAAAAGCATCTTCTACTTCTATCTAAGTTTAAGAAGTCATCTAATGACACTTGCCAAACCTGTGATTTATTGTTTCTGAAGATAAAAAGCTGTGTCTCCGAAGAAGAAAAACAAAGATTAGAAAATGAAAGCCAACAATACCAGAATAATGCTTCCTTTCATTATAAAACAAAACAAGGCGACAAAGAAGAAAGTGTGCGGAGCTTAGACAAGCTTGTAGAAGTTGCATTTGATTTGCAGAAGTATTTGGCTACACCTAATTTGACATCTAGTGTGGCTTTCTATAAAAGAAAGTCATGGACTTTTAATTTGACGATCCACAATATCACCACAAAACGGACATCGTGTTATATGTGGCATGAAGGTGTAGCTCAACGAGGAGCTGATGAGATCGCATCTTGCTTATTTCAGTTTATTAAAGATTTGCCAGAACATGTAGAAAAAGTAGTCCTTTATTCTGATACGTGCCCAGGTCAAAACCGAAATAATATATTACCGATTATGTTTTTAATAGCACTAGAAGGAACGGAAACTCTAAGAGAAACTCATCATAAGTTCCTAGTTCCTGATCATACTCATTTAGAATGTGATACAGACCCTGCTACCATAGAGAGATTTGTAAAAAAAGAAACGCCACAATTTCAGTTCCAGAGGACTGGGTATCAGTAATTAAAATGACGAGCCCTCGTTTTGATGTAAAATTTATGAAACAAACTGACTTTTTCAGATTTTTCAAACTTCTAACAACACATTTTATAAAAAGAAATGTTGATAAAGATAAAAATTATTTTGTTTGGAACAGCGTATTTTGGCTACATTACAAAAAAGATAGTTATATAGGCTTCAAATATACATTAAATCACAACGAACCGTTTCGTTCAATGTCCATGCAAAGACGAGGCAGGTCAACTTACATGTCTAATATTTAGATACTTCCAGCTTATAGTGATCTCTACCCATAGATTATTTGAAATATAAAGATATTCTCGACCTACTACCCTTTATAAATCCAATCTATCATGGATTTTACCATTCGCTTAAACACACTCAAACCAGTACCACACAATATACAAGCGACAGTGATAAAAATTTCGACGCTTAAGTTTTAATTAGGTGCAAGTAAAGCCATATATTTCCACAGCACTGTTTTCCAATAAAAAGAACTTGACCAATAATAGTTTAAGTTCTTTCCTCTTTGACTGTTATCTCCATTAAAATACTTTTTAAATCTCTATATTTTTGATACAAATATGACATATGCCAATATATCAAAAACAGAAATGTTAAAACATATTTTGTTTGTTTCATCTGTTTTAGCACTTAATAAAGTATTTAATGAAATATATTTGATTTTTTATTTTGTTGCCTTCGATTTAAGAAACCTTCTGGAATGTTAAAATTGCTCTACTGAAAAACATACATTTTGGAGTTAACATATGTCTCCCAAACACCACAGATATATATATATATATATATATATATATATATATATATATATATATATATATATATATATATATATATATATATATATGTGTGTGTGTTTTTATACTACTTCACCTAGATTGCGGCCCGCAAGCTGTGGCAATAGCTACTATGCGGCCCAGGGAAAAAAAAGGTTGAGTATCGCTGATCTAGTAGCTATATGTTTATTGTTCAATTACTTACGTTTTTCATCTTCTCTTTGTCACACTAGTTGTTCAAATATTAATTTTTTTACTTTCTTAGACATTAATTAGCTTTTCAGGTGTAAGTACTCCTTTATACAAAAAACAGGTCATGTTTTATTATTATCTCTGTAAGTAGACCCTTCTTCTGTCTTATTTGTTACTAAGAAATGCTTTCCTCTTTATTTTTACATAATGACCACTAACCAAGAACTGAATGTTGTGTTGTGTCGACAACAAGTTGTAAGCCCTTCAGACACTTAGACCTCCTAAGGCGGGTCCATTAATTCACCCCTAGGATAGGGATTGGGCTCATAGCGGCCTGTTCTTGGGCGTTTCTGGGGCCCAGGTTGCTCTGGGCTCCCATATCTGTTATAACCAGCAGGGGCTCCGAATCCGAGCCCAGGATCTGCCATCTCGGATGGGCCAGTGCCGGGCACTTCCATTGGACCTGTGAAGAGGTTTCCTCCTCCTCTTAACAAAGACGGAACCATGGTCCATACGCCAATCCAAGCAGATGAAGATGCCGCCTGTGTCTTTGTGGTCGGTAAGCATACTGACCACTAGAGAGCATCTTCTACGGTCTAGAAGGAGAAATTGGGTTTTAACTTTTGGATAGCGCCACTGTGTGGCGCCTAGCTTGTCCCATACTTCCACAACTGGCCTAGGAGTCCTGGCACCTTTTCGCAGAAAATCCTCTTTGTGACTACCCCGACCAGTACTGAAGGGCACCCCAATCACAGGTTCCGGTCTCACAAGCATAGTGAATAAGCCCTGTCTTGCCAGCGCGTCAGCCTGTTCTTTCATTTCCACGTCTGTGTCCCAGTACCCATACCAAGTTAACCCTATTGGTCAGTGCAACATCAGCAAGTTGTCTCTTGTACTCAAGAACCAGCTTAGAGTTGACTTTGGGCGTTTCCAAAACTCTTGACATTGCTTGACTGTCAGAGCAGATAGAGATGATCCTGCCCAGCCAGCCATATCTATTATCTCCTGATCACAAATCAGGATGGCAAGGGTATTAATGTACTTTTTGTTCATTTCTGGAAGGCGCGTGTACAAATTGAACTATTAGTATTTTTCCCATTTCAATGCTGATGTGTTAACGAGTAATATGCAAAAAGGTTATGGAACAAAAAGGGTGCAAATTAACTAATTGTTGCAAATGTGCATGTTATTGATTTTCAATTATTTATATTATTTTGATCTGCACCTACATCAAGTTCCAGGATACTGATAATAAAAGATAATCCAGATAATAAAAATTGATGTTTACAAAAGTTGTAAATTTTTTCGAATGATGTTTACAAAAGTTGTAAATTTTTTCGAACTTAATGTAAATAAACTGTGAAATATATGTTAGTTTTCATTTTACAAACATATCCTTTATTAATTTTCAGATAATATCTGGCCTGACGAATCTCCACCTAAAAATATGGAACTGGCTCCTCCTCCATACAATTCGCCACCTTCCTACTACAATACAACCGCCTTTGCTACTCCCGAACCTACATTAGATCCCTTTGACACCAGAACAGTATTTCAACCTGTTAGTCCCCAAAAATCGCTCTCTCCGACTACTTCCACACCCACAAGCACTTTTATCGATAAGATCACTCAAAATTTATTCGATACCAGTCCGAGTAGGAATTATACTAGAACTCAGAATGCAAATTATAGCACCAGTACCAAAGTACTCCAGAATCTTTTTGAATCCAGTCCTAGCAAAAACGCAGAACCAAAGGAGAATTATGTTCAAGGGGATATATCTAATAGGAGTTTTAATTATTTCAGAACAGGTAAATATATTGTATAGAACTAAAATCATACTTTCAGATATGTAACCGTTATAATTTAACTTTTACCATTTACTTTTAATAATCATAAAATCCCATTTTCAGACATTACAGAGAAAGACACGAATATAATTACTTTAAAACAGACTTCTACAGCTCAAAAAAATTTGACCTCATCCTTTAACAAGACTGATAATAATCTAGAAAATGATCTGTTGCTCTTAAAGTTAGAATCTCCAGAGAAAAATGAAGACCAAAAGAAGTTTTTAGCCGAGTTAGAGAAGTGTTTGCTGGGGAAAGACAATGAGATACCAGTTTTAGATCCACCACAACCAGTTAGGAAAGAGAAAAACAGTAATGGGGTGGCAGGGGCGTTTCCAAAAGTACAAAATAGTAAGTTTAATACAAGAATTTGAAAATTGTTGTTACATTCGTATTTGTTTAATCGTGTTTTGTCTTGTAATAAAAAGTCAATTTCGTTGATTGACATTTTTTTGCATTTCTAATATATTTACAACATTAAAACCAAATCGTCGTGTTTGATAAAACATGATTTGTTTTAATCAAGAAAATTTGAAACCGTATTACCAGGATTAAAAAAAAACATTCAAACATTTTTTTTTATTTTCACATAATACAATGTTTTTAGCGTTTTACTGTGAATCTTTTTTAAGAATTAGAAAATAGATAATATTACGATGACCGTTTTTGTACTTCTTTTTTATTTCATTTATGGGATTTTGAAAATAGGTTATACATTTATGAACATGATTTTAAAAATTTCGGAAACCTACAGGTTGTCCGATAACATCTACAGTAAATAAATATAATCAGAAATTTGAAAAGTGTTTTCATTGCATATTCTAAGTAAATAGAAGGATTATCATATAAAAACTGAATAGAAATCTACCTCAGGACTCCATCAACCTGATCATTCTGTTTAGTCAGTGTTAACTATAGTTTTCAGATTTAATTAATGACTTTGATTTTACCACTGTCACACCACTGTTGAGAAAATTGTTGGATTTAAGATAGAAGAGCTTTGAGCCTCGTAACGGGTATTATTCATACAAAATAACTAAGAACTGTAATAAAAAATATTATATGTTTAATACATCTGTATTAAACATGCCATCAAACTAAATTAAAAAAAAAAAACGGAAAAGGATAAAGCATTTTTGGCGAGAATTTCTAGAGTTTTGGTTGCGTAGGGCAGTTGTATGCACTGACAATGGGACGTAGAGGAATATCGGGTTTGTGAATTTTGGGTGAGCCATATATTCGATGTGTTTGGAAGACTTTTCACGAAGAATTAGAAATTGTTTTTTTGTCAACTGGAAGAGAGGTTTTATTGATAATGGCTTTTGTTGTTTTCTTCTGACAGGGTGTTGGATTAATTTGAATTGGTCTGTAGTCTGGATTTTTAATGAAATTTGAGAGTTTATTAATATAAGAAGTGTTTAGGATGACGGTGAAATTGCCTTTATCGGCAATTATAGTATTGTTCTACTCTTTTACTAGGTAAATTGTATATTACCTACTATTTGGATTCTAAGTAAATACATCAAAACAGATACTGACACGTAATGATTAGCATGTAATAAAAAAAATCACGCTTCAGTTCTATAAAAATGTGTAATATCACATAAGCCTTGTAAGTCAGTTGGTCGAGTTACCATGGAAACGAATTACGCATATCAGTGTAAATATAGTGGTAATTTAAATACAGATAAATAAAATGAGTTAATCGAATAGTGAAGATGAATTTAGTAGCATCACCCAATATTATACAGGTAGCTGCGAACACTACCTAGAACCTATTATCAGAAAAATCTAGATGAAGATATGAAAAGGTATATCAGCAATTTATGGATTGGCGTACAACAAATAATGTAAATTCATTTTCTGAAAACGTACTCTTGGCTTATTTTGGAGAAATCACTAAGAAATTTAAACCATCCTCATTATGGGCAATATATTCTATGTTAAGAAGTGTTATAAGTTTGAAAAATAAAGTTAATATTGAAAATTACCCGAAATTGCGAGCTTATCTAAAAAGGCAATCAGAAGGTTTTAAAAACAAAAAATCTAAAATTTTACATCCTGATGAATTAAAACTTTTTTAAATGGAGCTTCTGGTGTACAGTACTGGTTAATAAAGGTATTTTATTTAAAAGTATAACATAAATGTGCCTACTTATAATACTTTTATTTTAAGGTTATTGCAATTATTAGAATATATGGAGTTTGTAGGAAACAAGAGTTAAAAAATCTTAAAATTTGTGACATTGTTGATTTAAGTACCATGTTATTGGTTAAAATTCCTGATACGAAAACCAAAATATGTAGATCTTTCGTTATTTTCGGAAATTTTTATAAAATCTGCAAATAATATATAGAAATTCGACTAGAGATTAGCGATCCGCAAATAAATCAATTTTTTCTTAATTATCAAAGAGGTAAATGTACGAAATAGGTGGTAGGATTAAACACAATAGGCTGTGTTCCTAAACAAATAGCCGAATATTTAATGTTATCAGCTCCCAAAATGTACACAGGTCACTGTTTAAGACTAATTCTGCCATTATTTTGGTAGATGCCGGTGGTGACTTAATGGCTCGTAAACGACATGGCGGATGGAAATCTTCAACAACGGCCGAAGGATATGTCGATGAGTCAATAAATAATAAGACGTCAACAGGTAATAGAATTATAAATTCAATTGAAAGTAATTTACAGACCTTTACATATACTGAAAATACCAATGTTCAAAAAGAACACACCGTACAGTTTACGTCATCTTACCATTCGCCACGTATTATTGAACAACCGTCAAACTCGGATAAAGGTATAGTTATAAATAATTGCCAAAATTTTACAATTAATTATTATAAATAAATGTTTCATTTAAATTGTTCGCGAATTTTGTTAAATAAATAAAAGTTACTTGTTATACTTTTTATTTTTAAAAATGAAAATAATCGAAGAAAAAATATAGTACACAACTTGAGTTGTAAGCTTATTACATGCTTGTAAAACTTAGCTCTAGGTTTACTTGCACTAACCTCGGAAATTTTTCGGTACATTTTATTCGCCTTTACGGGGAGAAATTTTACCACCTCACTATATTATATAATAAACTGCTGTTACATAAGAATCGTCTTCTTTGTGATTTAACATTCCTTCCTTAAAGCCTGTCGAGAGCATAAAATCATTCCCAAATTTCTAAAACTCAAATACCATACTTCTTCTTCTATCTCCCAAATTCTTAGAAAGACCAGTTGCGCGCTTTTCTGTGAAGCGATTCATTCTATTAGACGCAAACTAGATGTCACAAATATCAGTATTTTTAGTATCTGGTCATCTATGCATTCTTTTAATGTACATCCTATCTTCTGGAACAGTTTCGACCGTATCAACACACAGACGACCCAAAACACTTTCGAATCTAAGACTGAAACTCAGAAGCGTAAATTAGCGCATCTAATTGCCGAAGAAATTCCAAAAACAAAAACGTTGATACCCACTACAGTGGTTCATAACATTTCTGATACTCCTATTTCGACAATTGCCACTTAAGATTAAGCAAAAGGTTTCAATTACTCTATTATCTCAAGTCACATTCTAATAGAGACAATCATCTGTCAAACTGAAGAAGCCATCTCCAGTTTACCTTCCAAAGGTGCTGAAATAACTAGACAAGACATTGTTGTTCTTAGAAACTCAATGCCTTTTATTATTCAAATCATGAATGTGGTAATTGTGTGAGTCCATTTCAAATAAGTAAAAGAAATAATAAATATCTAGACGACCGGTTTCTACAATTTTTTTACAATTTGCAAAGCATATTCAGGTCTGTCGATACAAAGTTAATTAAATGCTGAAATAATAAAACTCATATTAGGGTGTTGTCTTATAAAAATAAACAAAAGATAAATAATATAAATTACAGTAATTATGCCAATAGTACATGCCCGTGGTTTTTTTAAAATGAATAAACTGTTTAAGCTGACAAAGTAAGACCCACAAATTGGTATAAAAATAGTCTATTGAATTGTAATAAATTAGTAAATAAACAAAACATTACTTACATTCACTTACTTCTTCTTCTTCAGATGCAAATCCACTAATGGATATTAGCGATCACATTTTCCATTAATTCTCTATTTCTTGCAATATGTATCAGAGATTGTATGTCGTTAATCCCTGTCCATTGCCTTATGTTTCGGAACCAGGACATTTTCTTGCACTTGTACATTCCGGTACACTATTAATTAATGGTTGGGAGAACATTGTTAAAACTATCCTGTAATTGCTGATGATAATTTTACTATTGTAAGTGTTTGGCAATCAACGGGGAAGATTCTTGAGGAGATAGATTTTATCCAATGAAGTAGAAAATAGGTGTAATGTGATTGTTAAATGAAAGTGATGTTCTGTATTATTTAATTATTTAAAAGTTATTTATATTTATTCAAGAGATATATTTTCGAAGTGTATTATTTATTGAAATTTTTATTAAGGTGATGGTTGTATGACAATGAATGAAATTAGTTGTGCAATTGTGTGGGTGTGCAAATTTCTTTAACTTGTAATTATCAAATTTCTTTGATAAAGTTCAATTAGCTTACTGTTATTAGGCAGATGATTGTAAGTTAAGTATGTTAAAATTAGTTTTAGTATGTAGTTTTAATAATTTTGTCAGTGCATACAACTGCCCTACACAACCTTTGGCCAAATACTTGACCAAAACTCTACAACTTCTAGCCGAAAATGCAAAAATGGTATACAAAGATTTATGGACTGTACTATATATGTACATGTATATATATATATATATATATATATATATATATATATATAAAGTCTGTCAGTATTGAACCATGATACTATAACATATGCTCACTTGCTATTCTAATTTTAATTGACTTTGCGCATGTCGTCATAGCGAGACAAAGCCAGGGGACTTGTATGTATCATATTTTTTCTACTCTCTTACTAGTAAATTGTATATTACCTACTATTTGGATGCTAAGTAAATGCATCATAACAGATACTGACACGTAATGACTAGCACGTAATAAAAAAAATTACGCTTCAGTGTTATAAAATTGTATAATATCACATAAGCCTCGTAAGTCAGTTGGTCGAGTTACCATGGAAACGAATTAACAGACGTTATTTTGACAGATTAAAAATTATTAATCTGTCAGTGTAAATATAGTGGTAATTTAATTTTTATTTTTATAAACGAAAATAATCGTAGAAAAAGTATAGTACACAACTTGAGTTGTAAGCTTATTACATGCTTGTAAAATCACTGCGCTTGCCGCTACGCGGCTCGCGCGCAACTTTTTTACTCGCATGTAATAAGCTTCTTACAACTCTCGTTATGTAATATACTATTAACGATGCATCATATGGTAACGTTGTTCCATTACTGTAATGAACAACTTCAAAACTTAATCTGTTAACGGTAAGTATACTTAGATGCCATTCTTGCACTAAGAAGTCATAACTAGTTACTTTCTGTGAAAACGTGTTTTGAAAATTAATAAGTAATTTGTAAAATTAATAAGAAATATATGAATCTACAATTTGACTGTGTGTATTACAAACAAAATAAATATTTCTACAAAACATTAAATTAAATATAAAAGGCCTGCAAAATGTAAAAAATTTGACCATAAAGGAAAAGCGGGTCAAACTTGAGACTTTATGAATATCATCTAGACATTTATTTTACAATCTTTGTGATTTTTCTTTTGCAGTATTGTAATTATCTTTAATAGTTTGATTTAGAATTCGTATTTTAAAATACATTTTACATCTAAAAAAAAGTAATTTTACATCTTCGCTAACATTTACATATTTTGCAGCTTCTATTAAGTTTTTTAAATAATTTTTTGTTATTTTTTATGTGTCGTCATTATAACTACGAGAAATATGTTCCAGTTCACTACATACTACATACATCCAAAGTAACTTTTTTTAAATACCTATTAAAAATAAAGTATTCAAGTTCTATTAAAATGGGCGTTAGTATATTATTATCTATAGAAACATTTATTATTATCAATAGAAATATTGGCTTTGCTGTTATTAATATTAATTCTTTTTATTTATATAACTAGAATTACATCAAATGAAAAATTTAAATTTAATTTTAAAGTTTAATTTATATATATAATGGCTATACACCCCAACGTGGGGTTAAACCGCAAATGCTTTCTAGATCCTATTTCTTAAGTGGATCAGTCTTTTTTTTTTTATCTTATCTTCTTGACAATATCTCTCCATTTTTTCCTGTCTCTAGTTCTTCCTCTCCATTCACTGACTCCTGCCCTTTGGAGGTCTTCTTCAACTTCTTGCAGCCACTTTGATCTCGGTCTTCCCCTTCTCTTTCTTCCTCCTGGATTCCATTCTATCATTGCGTATGTCACTGCCTCATCGCCTGCTCGCCAGATGTGATCTAACCATCTAACTCTGCATTGCTTTATTTTAGTTACAATGTCTTCCTTAAGTTCTTCCTTAATTTCTGCATTTGTTCTGCTTCTATATTCATTTTGCTCTGTTCTGATTGGTCCTAGTATGGTTCTCATAATCTTTCTCTCTGCAATTCTTAAGTCTTCTTCATCTTTTTTAACCATCGTCATTGTTTCCCCTGCATATAATAATATTGGTCTAATTATGGTGTTATAAATGCTCATCTTGCTTTTTTTAGTCAGTGTTTTGCTTTTAAGTAATCTTTTGTTTGCAAAATAAGCTTTATTCGCTGCTAATATTTTTTCTTTTATTTCGGATTTCCTTTCTCCGGATTTACTTATTGTAACTCCTAGGTATTTGAAGTATTCTACTTCTTCAAACTCGGAACTTCCTTCATTGGTTTTTTCCCTAATCTTAATATTTTTGTCTTTTCTTGATTTAATCTTAGCCCCATTACCTCTCCTTTCTCTCTTATTTCTTCAAGCATTTCTTTCATTATTTTTCTGTTCTTTGCAATAATAGCAATATCATCTGCATATGCAATTATTTGACCACCTCTTGTTCTGAGATTTCCTTTATTTATATTTCGCAGTACATATTCTAATGCTAGATTAAATAGCGTCGTTGATAAGGCATCACCTTGTTTCATCCCTTTATTTATACTGAATTCCTCTGTCTCTCCTCTTTGTGTCTTTATGCTTATTTTTGTAGTTCTCATTGTCATTTCTATTAATTTTCTGAGTTTATGTGGAATTTTTAATTTTTTAAGTGCTGTCATTAATACGTTCCTTTTAATTGAATCAAATGCCTGTTTGAAGTATATGAATAACATTTCCAATTCTAATTTATACTCGTTTGCTTTTTCCATTATTTGTTTTATTGTGTGTATTGCATCTATTGTAGATCTTCCTTCTGTGAATCCACATTGGTACTGTCCTACTGTCTTCTTTGTGATCTTTGATAACCTCTTTTTTATTATTGATGTCAATATTTTATATGTTGTATTTAGTAATGTTATTCCTCTATAATTTTCACAGATTTGTTGGTCTCCCTTTTTATGTACTGTTATGATCTGTCCTACCCCCCAGTCACCTGGCATTTTCTCTTCTTTCCATATATTTTTCAATAGTGCAAGTATTTTTCCTCTTAGTTCCCTTCCCCCGTATTTTATTAGTTCCATATTAATTCCATCTTTACCTGGGGCTTTTCCATTTTTGCTTCTCTGTATTACTTCATCCAATTCCTCTAATGTTGGTTGTTTTGAAATTTCGATGTCTACTTCATTTGCTTCTTCTTCGTGTACTGTTTCCTCCTCGTCATGCATTTCTTCTTCTCTTGTTTCCTCCGTCAAGAGCTCTCTGTAGTAATCTCTCCATACTTGCTTGTATTCTTGGTCCTCTATTATCACTATTCCCTCTCTATTTTTTATTCCGTTTGTTTTGCCCTTGTATTTTTTGTTTTGTTCTTTAATCTTTTTGTAAAAACTTTTCGTATTTCTGTTTGTTCTTTCCTGCTCTATTTCCTGCATTTTTTTGTCTACCCATCTTCTTTTATTTTGCCTTATCACTTTCTTAGCATACCTTCTTAATTTTTCATATTCTTCTCTGTCTTCCTCTTTATCTGTTCTTAGCCATTTATTTCTGGCTTGCACTTTTTTTTCTGTTATTTCTCTACATTCTTGGTTATACCATTCGTTTCTTGTTTTAGCATGACTTTTACCTATCTGCATATTTGCACCTTCTTCTATTGATTTTTTGATCGTCTCCCATTCTGTGCTTATATCTTCTACTTTATATTTCTCTTTTATTTGAACTGTTACTGCCTCTTCATATTTTTTTCTTACTTCTTCATTACTCAATTTATTGACATTCCACTTTTTATGTTGGTTTTTTTGTTTTGTTTCAATTTTAACTTTTTGTCTTAAAATGGCTGTGACCATGTAGTGGTCTGAATCTGCACACGCACCTCTGTCCACCAAAGTTTAATTTGCTGTCATTAATTTTGACAATTTGGCATTTTGGCAAGTTGTCTCGGGCGTACGTCAAAAGAACATGCGCGTTGACTTATCTTGTTTTGTTATAGTATCATGGTATTGAACTAATCTATTATTATTTTTTTTTTTTTATAGAAACATATTCTAATATAGGAGATTTCTACGGAAAAACTTTTGACAATTCTCCGCAGAAAAACGATACGGCATCTGTGATAAACAAGATCTGGTGTGAATCGACGAATAACGGAAATATGAAACAAAATAATAAGAATATACAAATGGACAATCAAAATAAAATTGAAAATGTTGCGGCCAATGGAGATGTTGATCCATATCGGTCGACGAGAAGATATGATCCTGTGTATTCCTCTACAAACTCCGTTTTCGGAGGGGGGAATTATTATGATTTAACACCGGAGGCATCTGGTAAGTAGTATTTTTCTTATTTATAAAGACTATCTTCACAAAAGTATAATCTAATAAAAAAATTTAAGTAATTTTTATACAAGTTAAAAAAAGATTAACAAGTAAGAACATTATGTGTTCTCACAAGTTAAGATGTTTAAGTTACCAGTGGAACTGGTAACAATTACGTCGCCATGTTACCAATTCCACTGGTAACTTTAACATCCTAATTTTTAAGAACATATATAGTGTAACAAAAATTTAAATTAACAACATTTAACGAGTTTTTACCCATATATTTTAGTGGCTCAAACCATGTATACTTAGTTACACTGATGATGGAATTTTCATTCTCAAAACGTCCTGTAATTGTGATATAGCCCGTTTGGGTATTTTATTATATACATTTTATAAAGGATTTTAAATAAAAAAATATTTATCCATAAGTTCTTTTTGCAATATAGCTTATAGAAATTGAAAAATAATATTGACAAATCGTATAGAGACAAACTATTGCTATATTATTTAATTAATATAAAAAGTGTGCTACTATGTGTCTCTGTATATGCAACGACTCACGCAATAAGAAAACTGTGCCTAAGAAAACATAGCGAAAGAGTTGGTTAATACTGATAAGAGACAAAATGAAAAAGTATATAAACATAAAATAACCACTGTTTTTGATTTCTACTTTAATATTTGCTAGTTAACGTGTTGTTTAAAATTCTCTATTTTACAACCTAGTTAATTTTGAACACCCCCTTTGTCTGTTTTATATTCGTATAATTTGTTAATGTGAAGTTCGATTTAGTAACAACCGATTTGATTGATGCAGCATAAGTTATATTATGCAATTTGTAGTTTTCTTTAAGAAAAGGAAGAATTATATTGTCACATATTAGTGTGTAAGTTTATTAGGATTCCATTTATTAGTATATACCAGCAAAATTGAGTCATTACCTGTAAAAATGTCTGCAAAAATACACTAAAATCAAAAGGTACTAAAACTGTTTTCTTAGCGCATGTCTAAGTTAAATACTATGTTTATATGGGATTAACCCACAATTGATTGAACTGAACTTTTTGAACACATTTTTAACTTAAAATTTGACATTTTGGGTGGAAATTAAAACGTCAAATTTTCAGTTAAAAATGTATTTTGCATTACACTTAATTGTGTCATAATCCCATATAAACACAATATTTAACTTAAATTCAAAGTACCAGCAAAACTTTTTGATACCATGTGGTAAACAATAAATAATTTGTGGTAAGAGGATGCCAATGACAATGTCATTTAAGATACCCTAATCATTTTGTGGAATCTGCTATTAGAAACAAAAAAAGCGGATAAATATTATTGTTTTTGTTAAATAAAATTTAATTTCGAATAAATGTTACATATCTTCATTACTAAAAATGATATCACACAAAAGCTAATTGAAAGAATAAAAAAGAAAAGGAAATGAAGTCGGCGTTGTTCAAGGGAAACCTAACAGTAGCAATCGCCAAGTAAAAGATGAAATCAATAAAGAGAGTAGAAGGAGTAACGGGACGAGATAGTGGATAATATGCTGGTTTTAATAGGTCCATTTTTTTGTTTTAGGTTCAAATCAGAATCTCTACAATCATCTTCCACAAACAATCCACAACAACATCACGTCTTCATCACAGTTAACCACCACAAACACACTATACAAAACAAACAACTACAATAACTCAGCGGTTGTTCAGCGAGATCCATACTCTTCAACCAATCTGTACAATAACCAATCAGCTGCGTACGGTTATAGTAGTGTCGCCGGTAGTATTAGTGGAAGACCGTATGAAGAAGTCGGGAGGCATTACAGTGAAGTAACTGGTAATAGTTTGTACCACGAAATACCAGACAATGTATATAACGATGTAACTGATGATTCTTTGAAACCTCATAGGCCCGCTCCGACAAAACCGGGAAATTTGCAGCCTTTAAGTATGCAACAAATACAGAGGAAGATTCAGCAAGGTCAAGTAAGTATTGATTATTTGGTGTGGTTGTTTTTTTAAAGATAAATCACATGCTATGATTTTTCGGACGGATCTCCCCAAGTTCAAGTAAATTTTATGAAATCGAATGAACTAAAGTGGAACTTGGATATTACGGCCTCGGTAGTTACGTCATATCGGTTGTAACGTCAATTTTTAATAGGTGCAGCTAAAAACTATTCGATAACATTATTAAAAATCCGGTTTATCGGCGAAAAATAAAGTAAGCCGTCATATAATTTTACAGTAGGTTGTCGTTTTTTGTTTTATGAAGAATACAGTGCAATGCGTTTCCGGCTTTGTGGCATTGTTTCTTCTTAGAATATGAGAAAGTCCGATTATCCCTTCTGTGTACAGTTATATGACCGACAGTTCCATGATTTCTCATTTATCAGTGCCATCCTAACAGTCAAAGTTTCTGTTTCAGTCAGTTTAAGAAAGTTTCGCTACCGTGAAATTGTGTTCGGCTTGTTATGGTTTTAGATTTAAATTTAGTAATTTTTTATTTTTTGATATGTCAAGTTGTAGTACTAAAAGAAAGGCTTTCCCTATAAAGGTCGTGATATATGAGCATTTGAAAGTGGTCGAAAAATTGCTGATGTATGTCCGCAATTTGGACTTCGACGGCAGACGTTAATTCGACTGTCGGCTCAATCCTAAAAAACAAGGACAAAATTTTAAAAGTCTTTAATAAGGAGGGACAAAATATTAAAAAGATTAGGAAGTGCATTCGTGGTGATGTAGATTCAGCTCTACTCAAATGGTTCAAGCAGTGTCGCAGTTCTGATATTCAGATGTCTCCAGGGCACTTTTAAAGAAGAAAGCTACAGAGTTCGGAAAACTGTTTGGTGAAGATTTCACATGCTCTAACGGCTGGCTAGATCGGTCTAGAGCCCGGCGCTTAATTTCCTTCTCGAAAATTGTTGGAGAGGCGAAATGTATGGACGAGAACGTAACAGGTGATTGATCACAAAACACACGAACACAACTAAGGCAACCATACAAAGATGAAGATATCTTCAATGGCGATGAAACTGGTGTCTTTTACAAATGAACGCCAGACAAAACTATAAATTTCCAAAAATTAAAAATGTGTCTGTGGAAAGCTTCCAAAACAAAGAGTCACGGCTTTTGTTTGTGCAAACAGGACAGGTACAGGAAAAAGAAAGCTTTTGGATATTGGGAAAAGTTTACATCCTAGATGTTTCAAAAACATAAAAACACTGTCAAAAACAAAAAAACAACTTTTGAAAAGGATGCTTTTTGGATGGACAATGGCAAACCCGTGAACATTACCATCCTTGATGCAGTTCACTTTTTAGACAATGCGTGAAGTGCGGTTACGTCAGTGACAATTTGTAAGTGCTTTCGTCAAGCTAAATTGACTGTAGTTTCTCCCAATGTTCAGGATGTTGACGAGAATGACGAAATGCCTTTGTCAGAATGGACACAAAAATTTAATGTAAACCAGAGAGAGATTGGAACTGATCTTGACAAATATATTTCAGTAGACGATCAGGTAGAAACATTTCAAGTTTTAAGTCATAAAGAAATTGTGAAACAAGTGCAAAATATGTAAATGGATGTTGATGAAGATCATGAAGAACAAGAAGGAGACTGCGTTGAACAATCCAAGAAACAATGAGAGCTGCTGAGGCCATATCCATGTTTAATAGTTCAGGGAGGTATCCACAACTATCAAAGCAACTCATATTATTAAGGACACTACAGAAAAAGAGTTTTTTCAGCATTAGAGAACTTTTTCATAAAAAATGTAAGTTCATGTATGTAATATGTTTCATTTCTTTTTTTTTTATTCTAAATGCAGCTGTACTAATTAATACTGCTGAAATAAAATTTTGCCTCGTTAAAATTTCATTTTTTTTCTACCTCTTTTATACGTCACTCTGATATAGCGTCATTTTTTACTGGACCCTTCAATGACGCTATAACCAAGTTCCACTGTATTTTCCAATACGGTCATCCCAGTAACGCATCTCAAAATCATCTACTTTAAAATTATTGATAGATGAATTGTCAATATAAATGAGGCAGATAAAATTAAATTAACAGAAGATTTTTTTTGTATTACCAAACAACAGAACAAAATCATTTGTTTAATTTGTATTTTAAAAATGATTTCAGGAATGGAAATCGAAATATCAAAATAAACGTATTTTCCGCTGAAATTGTGGTTAATTCCCATTAATGAATGTACATATTATTAAAATGTCAACAGCTTCCGAACAATATTGTTATTTTTTGTTTTTGTGTTGCAACAACAAAAGCCAAGCCAGTAATCTGATACTTTTATTTGTTTGTTTTAGTTGACTGCGGACGCAGAAAGGTTAATGACACCTGAATATAGAAGCAATAAAATTAGTCAAGTGAGAGATTGTATACCCGATGTAGACATTGATGAATGTCTAAACGTACTGCAGGCCAGCGGTTGGGATGTTGCCTTTGCTATTAAAACTTTAAAAATTAACAAATTAGTTAGGTAAGAACAGTTTCTACTACAGTTGAAATCTGTTTTATATCAAATACTGCGCCAAGGTTTATTCTGTATGATTTAACTCTTTAGTGTATTACAGGTAGTAGAAAAAAACACATTGTCTTCTCTGTTGTGCTTTATCTTCTTTATTTTGTATTTGTTACTCCATATCTTTGAGTAAGTAGACATTATTGAAAATAATATAGACAAATTTACAAGATTTCCATTTTGTACCGATCTTTCGAATGACATTTTCTTCTTTAGTGAAGAATATATCAACTGCATAATGTTGAGAGCAGGTGATTCCTACATAATGTTAGAGTACTTTTCTTTTTCTTTTATAGTTATACGTATTACAGTTTTGACAATATTGTGAAAAAAATTCAAGATCACATCTTTTCTATTAAGTGGCACATTTTGGAAGTTTTTAGAGAATCAATTTTTGTGAATTTGTGAGAATTAAGTTTGCGATGTGTATAAAACACTAGAATACAACAATAGACCTAGAATATAACATAACACTGAAATATCAAGTGCTTTATGCATATTAGAACACTATAGTTAACACTTTAAATGAACAACTAATAGACGCTTAGATGGCCGAGTTTTAATACACATCTTAAATCGAAATTTAAACTGCTAGGACTTTCTGTTAAATATTTCTGTAAGGGATCAGTGAGACATATGTTTCAATGCAATTGACAGTATTGGAACAATTCTAATGCGTTTTCGTTTTTTAAGATAATTATTTAGAATTGTTCAGATTCTTAGTGCCTAGTTGCTAGTGACTGCTTGAGATGGTGAAATTGAAAAGCAATATAAGGTTGAATGTTCGAATAAATGAACTTTGATGATACACAAGGCAAATATCGAACACAGTATTTAATCAAATCTTGCCCAAGTACTTTCGATCACAAGATCATCTTCAGGGGCATCTGAAATAAGCCAAGAAACGTTTTTTAAAAAAGGAAAATTAATTCACTTGGATAAAAACTCCAAGTTTATAGTTGAAAAAAGTTTTTTTATGTGATTAACGTTTATAGACTTACTTCGTCAGTTGTGGCCTATCCAGCAGTAACAGAATGTCATAAATGTAAATTGGGACATAACAAATACACTAAACAAAGACAAACGCTTTTGGACAAACAAAGGCGGAAATATTGAGATGACATGTGACAAATGACAGCTTGTGAAGGGCAGTTACAATAGATAAGTGATCTGCGCCTTTCAAGATTCTATGAAAGTAAGTATTGACCAAAGGTCCAACTGACACCACTATAGGAAATCAACTGAAGAAATATAAAATTATATCTAATATTTTTATGTAGATTGAATAATCCAGATCTCACATTCAAACCTGTCTATAATAATTAGGATGTTAGTTTGAGAGCAATTGAAGTTGACATAAAGTATGAATATAAGAAATAGACTAAACAATATATTAGACAGTGGATAGTTGACTACAATAAAATGGTCCACTAAGCGCTATCAGTACTGTAAAGAGAAAATCTGAATATTCAGTTGAATTGCTAAAAATTAAAATCAAAATTAAAAGCAAAATATATAAATGGGTTGTAATCCAAGTAGTTCAGTTGAATCCACAGTCAATGGAAGAACTTTCAAATTAATATGTAAATACTCAGTGCATGAAGTCTAAACAGTCGAGCTGGGCCCTCTACGAGGTGGAGCTGTAATAAAGTTTTTAAATATAGGATTAAATTTAGTACAATTTAAATTATTTTGAGTATTAAGACAGTGAAAGTTTTCATTTGTTTCCCTTGTAATCTCCAAATCTTCCAATAAATCCAACTCAAGATAGTTTTTCTTTCTACTGATGTCACGTAAGATGGATGAACCAGAATTGATGTTAAAATTGTGGTTGCTGGATACTAAGTGTTGACCAAAACTTGAAGAGTTTGGTCTTTTCAAATGTTCAGAGACTCTAGTGGATAACTTTCTGATGGTTCTACCTGCATAAGAGGCATCACAATCATCACATTTTAATTTGTAAATACCACTTTTATCAAGTGTATTCATCCTATCATTGGTATTGATTAAGAAGGAGCCTAAAGTGTTATGTGATTTAAACGAGATTTTGATGTTATCAATTGTAGAAGTAAAAAGTTTAGATATTTTATTGGAAATGCTGCTAATATAAGTGAAGGAGAAATATCTGATGTTATCTGAAACATTAGGTTGAAAAGACTGTGATGAATATGCAAGCTTTTCTGCAATTTTTAGTTTAGCTCTATTTAGAAGTTTGTATATAATGTTAGGATCATAGCCATTATTGACAGCAATCTGCTTAAGAGTATTGAGTTCTGTATTAAAATTATCATCAGAAAGAGGAAAGTATCTTTCTATCTGTCTGCAAAGGATAAAGATGCTATATCAACTATGCTTAAATTCTGTCTTGATCAGGACTTCTTTCAATTTAACCAAAAGATATATAAGCAACTAACAGGTTTAGCAATGGGATCTCCATTATCACCTTTTCTAGCTGACATTTTCTTAGACAGCTTAGAACAGAAGTTTGTTAACAACAACAACAAAATAGTTTTTTGGTCAAGATATGTGGATGATTGTATAGCTCTCATTAAGGGAACCCAAGATGATGCTCTACAGATTCTGGATGATCTCAATAACCTCCATCCTAACATCTCTTTTACTCTGGAACCAGAATCTGACAATAAGTTGAACTTCTTGGATATGACTATATCCCGTAACAAAGATTCTTTAGAGTACAACATTTATAGAAAACCCACCCAAAATGATCACGCTATACATGAAACGTCTAACCACCCAACTCAGCATAAAATGGCTGCTTTCAACAGTTACATTCATCGATTACTTAAATTTCCTCTTTCTGATGATAATTTTAATACAGAACTCAATACTCTTAAGCAGATTGCTGTCAATAATGGCTATGATCCTAACATTATATACAAACTTCTAAATAGAGCTAAACTAAAAATTGCAGAAAAACTTGCATATTCATCACAGTCTTTTCAACCTAATGTTTCAGATAACATCAGATATTTCTCCTTCACTTATATTAGCAGCATTTCCAATAAAATATCTAAACTTTTTACTTCTACAATTGATAACATCAAAATCTCGTTTAAATCACATAACACTTTAGGCTCCTTCTTAATCAATACCAAAGATAGGATGAATACACTTGATAAAAGTGGTATTTACAAATTAAAATGTGATGATTGTGATGCCTCTTATGTAGGTGGAACCATCAGAAAGTTATCCACTAGAGTCTCTGAACATTTGAAAAGACCAAACTCTTCAAGTTTTGGTCAACACTTAGTATCCAGCAACCACAATTTTAACATCAATTCTGGTTCATCCATCTTACGTGACATCAGTAGAAAGAAAAACTATCTTGAGTTGGATTTATTGGAAGATTTGGAGATTACAAGGGAAACAAATGAAAACTCTCACTGTCTTAATACTCAAACTAATTTAAATTGTACTAAATTTAATCCTATATTTAAAAACTTTATTAAAGCTCCACCTCGTAGAGGGCCCAGCTCGACTGTTTAGACTTCATGCACTGAGTATTTACATATTAATTTGAAAGTTCTTCCATTGACTGTGTATTCAACTGAACTACTTGGATTACAACCCATTTATATATTTTGCTTTTAATTTTGATTTTAATTTTTAGCAATTCAACTGAATATTCAGATTTTCTCTTTACAGTACTGATAGCGCTTAGTGGACCATTTTATTGTAGTCAACTATCCACTGTCTAATATATTGTTTAGTCTATTTCTTATATTCATACTTTATGTCAACTTCAATTGCTCTCAAACTAACATCCTAATTATTATAGACAGGTTTGAATGCATCGAGCAATAAGATAAAAGAGGGAATCTAATCCTTATGAAAAGGAGACCAAAAAAGTGGCCTCTGATGGCGGACATATCCGGAAATGCGAATGCGCCAAATTTAAATTTTCCGACACTTATCAACAGTAGCTATATAATATTTCGCAGAATGTGTCTTAGACGAGAAAGTTTTAATTAATTATTAATGATAAGAGTCTAAAATGCGACACAATTGTTAAAAAACTTCAATATAAATAAGATTTAATGTGACATTTGGGACAAACAATAACATAACCCAACTAAATTTGATGTCAAACAAGGAGAGAAACTCTCTTTCCTTATTTTATGTGGCCTCTAAAGATCGCACTTCCTGTCTAACAATATGTTTGCCCCCACTACCTTTACATTCCCTCTGTTGTCTTTTTGCTCGATGTTTGAATGTAAGATCTGGATTATTCAATCTACATAAAAATATTAGATATAATTTTATATTTCTTCAGTTGATTTCCTATAGTGGTGTCAGTTGGACCTTTGGTCAATACTAAGTTTCATAGAATATTGAAAGGCGCAGATCACTTATCTATTGTAACTGCCCTTCACAAGCTGTCATTTGTCACATGTCATCTCAATATTTCCGCCTCCGCCAGGCTGGGAGCCATTCTGTCTCCGGCTTCTATATAAAATGTAGCTTCTCCAATTTTAAAGTGTTTGTTTGTCTTTGTTTAGTGTATTTGTTATGTCCCAATTTACATTTATGACATTCTGTTACTGCTGGATAGGCCACAACTGACGAAGTAAGTCTATAAACGTTAATCACATAAAAAAACTTTTTTCAACTATAAACTTGGAGTTTTTATCCAAGTGAATTAATTTTCCTTTTTTAAAAAACGTTTCTTGGCTTATTTCAGATGCCCCTGAAGATGATCTTGTGATCGAAAGTACTTGGGCAAGATTTGATTAAATACTGTGTTCGATATTTGCCTTGTGTATCATCAAAGAAATTGAAAATGTGGGTTTGTTGAGTCTTGTAAAAATGGATTTATTCATCTTTGGAATTGAAAACTTTGCTATGGAATTTGAATGTTTTGAGATATTAAGGACAAGTTGGTATGGTGTGCCCATTGATATGTATAAGATAACTCTCTGTGAGAGTGTTCTGGAAATATCGTTGTCATTGGATTGTGTAAACCACTGTATTAATATGTTCGATATTAAAGTATTTCTGGACACTTCCCTGTTTCTGGACGTGTTTAGACGTGAAATATGTGTATATAAGGCCTCAAACGTTAGGCGCCATTTCGTGTGAATATCACATTTCCTTGAAATATTACAAGCCAGAACGAATAATTAACAGGGTGTACCACATGCAGAACGAAGATATGTTCAGAAAACTGGAAGCATTTGAGATGTGGCTATATCGGAGAATACTTAAGATTCCGTGGACTGACCGAGTCTCAAATGAGAAGATCCTCAGAAGAATGAATAAAAACCGAGGGGTACTGACCACCATCAAATCTCGAAAGTTACAATTGTTCGGGCATATTATGCGAAATGAATCCAGATATCCCCTCCTTCAATCCATCCTGCAAGGAAAAATATTTGGAAAACGAGGTCCAGGAAGAAGAAGAACATCTTGGTTAACGAACCTCAAAATCTGGTTTAATGCAACATCTGTGCAATTTTTTCGCGCTGCTGCAGATAAGATAAAGATTGCCATGATGATCGCCAACATTCGTAACGGATAGGCACATCCAGAAGAAGACCACATGCAATCGACACTAAGTTTGGGTAGCGATTTTAAGGTTCCAGTAAGTTTAGGAGATGAGACGAAAAATTGAAAAACAATGTTAACAGTGAAAACCTGTTGAGAATTTTGTAACGTCCAAATTTAAAAATAAAAATAAATAAAAAATAAAGTGTAATTATTTGGTCCTAGGCCAGAAGGAAGTTGTTGCCTATACAATAAGTTCACATGCCTGAGTATGTATTAAAAAAAAATAAACAAAACATACCGTACTGATATATACTTTTATAAAACTATCTGTCCTCAAATATGTCTTCACGGTATTTATGTTAAACATAGAAAAGATTGTCACTTATTACTCTTGTAAAAGAAGTTAATAAAGAAGAAATTAAAGTACTTGGTATAGTCTAATTACACATGTATGCGGGTTCTTTAGATGGTAGAAAATTGAAATAATTTACAGTTTTGGATGATTTGCTTGCTGTTTTTCATAAAAAAACAGAAATTGGAGCTAAATGGACACCATTGTAGAGAAATTAACGAAATGATGGATGCTAGATCAGCTTATCTGGCTAATGTAGATTTAACTTGGCACTCATCTGAGAGAAAAATTTTTGTCCTAGATTTTGGATGATTTTGCACTTCAGAAGCAAACTGACAAGGACCAAATACAGATATAAATATAAAGAAGATAATCCACAGATCAAACATGCTGGGCTCTTTGGGTTCATCACCCTGAGAGTATATCTAAAGTGAAGATGTTCCCATTCGATGAATAATAAATAAAAAATACCGGGACCACTTTGAGAGCAACTCCTAAATTGTCGAAGTTAAAATATGTATTCTTCTCTTCTTTGAGTACCGTGCCCAAGTTTTGGCGTGGGTAGCTTCCATGACGATTTGCCGATATCGTTCTCGATCTTGCGCGGCATTTAATAATTAATCTGCTGATAAGCCAGTCCTTTGACGAAGGTTTCGGAGCCATGAGTATTTCTTTCTATTGAAGGAAGAAGAGGAATTGGTAGGTAGGAAGAAAGTATGTATTACCCCAAAGATAATTCGAAAGTGATTCATGTCCCTCTGCTGGCAAAAATAAGTATTTAGGTGCGATCAGTCCGCAAATAATTGATTGATTGAAATAAAAGGTATGATGCAATATGCGGAAATGAGGCCAGCGTTTTGCAAGAAAAACCTTTCTAAAAAGCAACACATTCCTTTAATAGAAAAGAGCGACACATTCCTTTAATAGAAAAGAGACAAAATATTTTAAACGTTGTTCTTACACATTTCACTACATTATAATTACGTGAAACACAAATATTATTTTAAATTCATACAAATAACAATTGGACTTCGTTTTTAGGTTAGGAGTAGCAGATAGTAGCCGATGCGAGACAGCTTTACAACATACCAATTGGAACGTTGAATTGGCAGCATCAGCTATACTTGACCTTTAGTACTGTTAGGAAATACGTTAAATATGAAATGTAGTTAGGAGTCACTGAAGATATTCGAAAAGTCACTAGTCGTACGATAAGTTCTTTCCCTAGGACCTCATGAAAAATATTTTTTTTATATTCATTAATTTGTATATATGTACTTATATGGTCCAGCCATGTTTACATCACAATAAATAAATAAGTCAATAGATTTTGTCCTACAAAAATAATTTTTTAATTTTGAAATAATTTTTAATTGATTTAGTTTAGAGGTGCTATACACTGTTTTTTTTTTTCGAATTACAAACTAGCTTTTAGTAATCATGAAGCCTTGTACTAACTTTTATATTGCAACAAATTAATCATTTGTGCTATTCAAGATAATAATATAATCCACAGATCGCACTGCTAACGTTTGTTGGCCTTTAAGTTCTAGTGACTAGAAAATGTTTTTACTTTTTAAATTTACTACACTCAAGTAGATGAGAAATACTTTTGAATTAATTTTGAAATATTTTTTTTGTTTTTGATAGATTGAAACAAGGAATTAACTAGATTTATACTGATGGATCAAGGTAGAATGATACTTTACATGTTAATGTCGAGATTTTTCAAAATAGCGGATTTACATATATGAGTATAATTCTATCTGCCTCATATATATTCAGCCAGTTCAGTCGGATGACACATAATAAAAAAAGTTGAGACAAGAATAGGTTATATTAGGGGATCAGCTCTTGTCTTTTTTTTTAAATAATTCTCCTTTCTTATGCTTTTTGTTGAAAAACATCCAAAACCTAGACTCGTTATATAAAATTTAGTACAAGCTCTACAGTTTAATAAAAATGTTATCTGAACAGCGGAAATTCTGTCTAGTCTATTACTGATATTTATTTTTAAAATTAACAATTTGTATATATTATGAAAATGGCAACCAGAAGGGTAGAATTTATTATACAACTAGATATTAATTGAAGAGGATTTTCTAACGTCATCACATAATTACTCAATTAATTAAGCATTGTTAGATAGTACACGTGCCAAAGGAAATCTAGTTAAAATAGTGCGTTCTGATTTATTCATGTGAATGAATCAGCAGAAAAAGTAGGACAAAATAAAAGTTTAGCCAGTTTAATATTAGCGTAATTTATAAATTTAAGACTTTTTGATCAAATGGTACACAGTACTTTAGCATTTTTTCTGAAATATTCGTTGAAATGTTCTGACATTAAAAATAATTATGAAAATATACGATAGTTTAAAAAACCATTGATAGTACTGAATTAACAAAGTGCAAGAATCGCCTGTTAAGATATAAATTTTATGGCTAATAGATATTACAAGGCAATAACATCTGTTACAAATTGAAACATTAATTTTATTAAAATAAATCGGCGAGTCGCGCAAGTGGAAAGTTATATCTTTAAATGGCCAAATTGGAATGAGTTAGAAATAAATATAAGCGGATAGTACTTCAGTACGATCATTCACGATATTGAACCGGTATCATATAAAAAGTAGAATTATGAAAAATGATTAAAGACCGAAATGTCAAAGCAGCAAAAATGGAACATGACAAATCGAGAAAAATTTTAAAGTACAAACAACGGAATAGAAAATTAAACTGTTGAAACTAGTTCGAATAAGATACGGAAAGCTTGCTTATGTGAAAAATAAAAAAAAATCTAAAACTATCTTTCCTAGAATGAGTTCCCAAGTATAGATGTTTACAATATATATAATTAAAGGAATATTGATGAAAACACTTCGAAAGTGAGTTGAGAAAAGTTGAAAAAACGGCTCTTGGTTTGGGACGGGTGTTAAATCACGAATTATCCATTTCAGTAAAAATTAAGAAGTAGAATTTCTACGGAACAAACGTACTCAATATGCAGCAGGAGAATTGAGTAATGTCTTAAGGAAATGAAACTGCTGAATGTTGATATTTTATGAATCTGTGGGCGAGGTGACCTGGAAATGGAATATATCAACAATAAGACACAGCGTTCTACTACTCGGGATGTACAAACAACGATCCACAGCTCAGTATGACGTCAAATTATTAATAAGAACGATGGAGAAATCGGTAATAAACGTTCATAACGTGCTCTCAGAATGAATCATCGTTATTCAACTGGCGGGTACAACATTCAACATCATCTCAGAGATTAAATAGTTTTACGTAAAGCTGCAGGAAGTACTTCGATTACTTAAATTTCAGTAGATAGATATAATAATAAATATTTAAATGCAAAAGAGAATCAGTTCCAGGTGTCGCAGATCGGTTTGACCCAGGTGATGGGAATGTATGGCACAAGATCTAACCATTCTTACGATTTATATCCAAAACGTCTCTACACATGTAAATCTTCCCAAGATACGCTTAATAGGTAGTACGAAATCAAATCGATTATTTTATAATCAATAATCTAAATAACGTGACACAATCGATGCATATCCTGGAGCGGACATCAACTGAGACCACAATTATCTAATAGGAACCTAATGTTGGGGGAAAACTGATACGGATTCTAGAAAAAAATAAAAATATACGACATAAAGGCTGGGAGGGAAAATAACAAGAAGGAAGAATTTAAAAGTAAAATAAAGAGTAACGTCAAACAACCTAACCAACTGAGGAGCATACTGTAGAAGAAAATTAGGAACATATAAAGCCAAACCTTAGGGTGAGTCAAACCGTTTGGCTTTAGTTAAAATATGAAATATGGCAAACGGGCTAGTTCCCAAAGCCAATACTGTCAAGACCACACACAACATACGTTATATCACGGTCATACTCGCAGATAAGTTAGAGGATTTACAGGAACTTCTAAATGATGTCGACAGAATGGAAAACGTATTTGGCGTAAAAACCAATATCGATAAAACAAAGTGTAGCAAACAACATAACCAAGCCAAAGCTTTAGTGGATAGTAAACTTTTGAACGAGCTACTCCACTGCATTTTGCAGGGTAAAATTGAAGGAAAAGAGCCCCAGGACGAAGAAGAATATCCTGGCTTGCTAACCTGAGAGCATGGTATAGAAAGACCTCAACACAGCTATTTCGTATAGCAACCAATAAAATCATTATATCCAGAATGATTGCCAACGTTCGAAACGGACAGGCACCCTAAGAAGAAGAAAGTTTTGAAAAGAGTTGACAAGTTCAAGTACATTTGAGGCAATATCAACAACAAACTTAATAGTGATGTAGATATAAAAACAGCTCTGGTAAGGTCAATAATAGCTAAATTCAAAAATATTTATGCAATATGGAAAGTTTGAGTCCCAGTTTATTAAAATGTTAATATGGCCCATAATAACACACGGGGCTGAGGTTTTTTAAATTCAAATCAATTAATTGCATAGAAGTATTCGGAATATGGAAATTACGGAAAGTTCTGCGCATCTCTTGGGTTGATAATGTGACAAAGAGGGAAGTATTAAGAAGAGATCAAACCGAACGTGTAATGTTACAAACTATAAAACAATTAAAAGTTTTCTATTTGGGACATATAATAAGAGGTCATAAATATGAGATATTACATGTCAGTTAATGAAACTGTTCGATCAAGAGGGGTATTACCATCTAGAATTTGACAATGGTATACAATATTTTTAAGTAAGTATGAAAATCTAAAGACGATGCCACTAAATAACCCATTAATTCGTCCGAAACCAGGATTGATTTCACAGCGACTAATCGGTATTGTCAAATGTAAATGTTTCTTTAACAAATCTTGAATGTGTTGCCTGTGTGAGGCCATTTCAAATAGGTAAAAAGAAATAAAAATAAAACTTACAGTCAATTTCTTCTACCACTAACGACCCGTTTCGAATACTATAATTTGCTATGAATCTTCAGGTCAACGGTACATGGTAAACTAAACGCTTAAAATATAATAACCCGTATAGGGTGCTGTATGGTACAGAATATACAGCAATTATGCCAATATTATATGTGTGCGATTATTAAATAGAACTTTAAAATTGGTTACAAACAACGTAAAATTAAGTGACAAAAACAATCCAGTAAAATTGAAATTAAATAAATGACCAATAAATACTAGTTACATGCCGACTACCTTAAGACCTGAACATGCATAGCAAATTATAGTATGGGAAACCGGTCGTTGGTTGTAGAATAAATTGATTGTGAGTCTTATTCTTATTTCTTTTTACCTATTTGTATCTTAAACAATTTGATCTTATAAAAAACAATGATAACATACATAATTAAGAATTTTTAAATAACTAATGATTTTAATACTAAAATGGTTTACCGTGTACTTTGGATAGATTGGATAAAATAAATCATCTACTTCTCACAAAAGCATAAAGGAATGTGATGCTAATAATTAAATAAAATGTGTACTAACTATACTTATAGAAATCATTCAAATTATGCCAGTTTGAATCTATAATTAAATGTCATATATCAATAGATATCTAGTGTACATGTCAAAAGCATAAAACTAAAAATTACTGTGCTCATATTAGAAGAAATATAGTTGTTTATCATTAAGTGTACACATATATGCTTCCGATGGTTTTCTAATTGCCTCCAAAACACGACCTTCTCCTATTTATTTTATGTTTGGGATTTCTAATAAAAAAACACTGATGACCTTTACTTAGTTGGATGGTGTTATGCAAAAAAGTCAAAACACACAAATCTGATTTTGAGATAAATAGCTTCATGGTCTATAATTTGTTGCAAATCACATGTTTTATTATAGTGTACCTATAATATACCATTATATCAGTAAAACTTGATTTACTTTTTCAACACAATTAAAAAAAAATACTAATCATTTCTGTGTAAAAAAAAATAAATTTTTTTTAAACAGTAACTCACATACGAATTATAAAATATGTTTTATTAATCAAAAATAGAGAAAAAAATATTATTTGATAAGAGATAATTAAAAATTTTGATATTATTTACAAGTGTTTTAAATAATTTTAATCCGCTACATCAAAGTCCACATTTTCTACTCAAAACCACCAACATCTATATATATCCAGCTGTTCGGAAGAAATTATGAAATGGTTTTAGATCTTGTGGTACACTCTTTAATATTTCTTTGAGATCTTTGATTCCATATCTTTGAATGATTTCTGCAGTCGACTTTTTTATCTACGTCTACTATTTATACGTTTTCTTCTGCATTCATGTGCAGCAAGAAAGACTTAATCTTTAAAATTTTGATTTCATGACTCTTGATACAATTTACTTTCTTTTTCTCTGAGTCATATTTCCTGTCTGATTGATTCCAATAGTTTGTCACTTGAAATAATTTCTTCTATTTTGTTAACAAGAAATTTGTTCTTTCTCCTACATTCTTTCATAACATTAATGTAGTCTACATCCGTGTTTCAGCACTGTTGGATCTTTAAAGAGCACTTAACATCTCCAAATCTAAATCATTGGACAGAAAGGTATGTCCTGGTAGTAAGAACCGTCAAGTAATAGAAACGAGAGATGGATGGTTATGCAATGTGTGCATCATAAAAGTACTACATGAGTACTGTGGTTTTAACCACCACTACAATCTGACCACAGAACCAAATTCTTAACAGATGGATTAATACGATCTTGTACGTACTTCCTTAGACAGGATCCAGCTGTTGGGTTCCTCTCACAGCTTCAGGTTCACTTTAAAGTACAGTAAATAAAATGTTGACTTACCTTTTTATTATTAGGAAAGTTCTGCCGCTTTCCACATGGTTTATGATCTTTTAAATATATCAGGTTGAATAATATAAAAACTATTATCCAAATAATAGAAGATAACAACGATCCTCTAATCTGTTGTTTAACTGTTGTGGGTTGATACAGAATTGTGTGACTATTGCAAAATAAACTGAAATAGCTGACTGTGCGTTGGGTGCTTTTAGCCTATAATGGCTATAATCTACCATGTAATTAGGAAAACTCAATTTTTAATGTTTTGAGGTTTAACTCCTTTTTCCATAACACCGTCCAGTTTACCTTTGAATATCGTTTCTAGTTATATACGACGTATAAGTTCTCCAACACTGGTTTCTATTTTGTGTTATGCTAGTACACGATTCATTTACATACTATGAATGTGCACAAGGCAAAAGAGAATAATGTAACAGAATATCTAGACTGATTTATATGGTAGAATATAATTTGATAAACGAAAAGTACGATTTTCAATGGTAAACAACTTTTAATATAATAATAATATACTATAAAACAAACATAAATTAATTGGTAGGTAACGTTGCATTTAATAATATTTGTTTTTGGCTCTAAAGTAAAATAAATTGTTTTCTTCGTCTTAATAATAATATCATATGGCATTTTTGCCGGGGAGATTCTTTCGGATAGTTTTCGGCGCCAATTGTATTTTTAACCCTGTTTCAAGTAGCTAGTGTTGATGCACACTAGCCAAGAGGGACCGATGGCTTTACGTGACCTCCGAAGCATGGTGAACGGCTCGTATCATTTTTAGAAAGGAAAATGTCGTTGTCGCATGCAATAAAAGGAACATATAAGGGCTATATCTAACAAAATCATGTGTACGTCATGTTTGACCATGTCGGATAACTAAATCGTGCATTTATAAACATCTTAAATGTAGGAAAATCTAACGACATAAAGGAAGAGCTAGGCGGTAAACCTTAGATCAAATAAA